ATTTTTATACTGTAAATGTCTTCTGTCAAGTCACAATTGTTGTATGTCAAGCTATAAATGTCATTCCTAGGGTTTAAATGTCATATGTTAAATTGGCAATGCCATTTTCAAAGTAGAAATGTCATTTTTATACTATAAATGTCATCTGCCAAGTTAGAACTTCTGTATGACAAGCTATAAATGTCATTTTTAAGGTTTAAATGTCATATGTCAAATTGAAAATGCCATTTTCAAAGTAGAAATGTCATTTTTATACTATAAATGTCATCTGTCAAGTCAGAACTTCTCTATGACAAGCTATAACTGTCATTTTTAAGGTTTAAATGTCATATGTCAAAATGGAAGTGTCATTTTTAAAGTAGAAATGTCATTTCTATACTGTAATGTCTTCTGTCAAGTCACAATTGTTGTATGTCAAGCTATAAATGTCACTCCTAGGCTTTAAATGTCATATGTCAAATTGGAAATTCCATTTTCAAAGTAGAAATGTCATTTTTATACTATAAATGTCATCTGTCAAGTCAGAACTTCTCTATGACACGCTATAAACATCATTTTTAAGGTTTAAATGTGGTATGTGACATTGGGAATACCATTTGCAACGTAGAAATGTCATTTTTATACTGTAAATGTCTTCTGTCAAGTCACAATTGTTGTATGTCAAGCTATAAATGTCATTCCTAGGGTTTAAATGTCATATGTTAAATTGGCAATTCCATCTTCAAAGTAGAAATGTCATTTTTAAACTATAAATGTCATTTGTTAAGTCAGAACTTCTATGACAAGCCATAAATGTCATTTTTGAGGTTCAAATGTCATATGTCAAATTGGAAATGCCATTTTCAAAGTAGAAATGTCATTTTTATACTATAAGTGTCATCTGTCAAGTCAGAACTTCTCTATGACAAGTTATAAATGTCATTTTTAAGGTTTAAATGTTATATGTGACATTTGGAATACCATTTTCAAAGTAGAAATGTCATTTTTATACTGTAATGTCTTCTGTCAAATCACAATTGTTGTATGTCAAGCTATAAATGTCATTCCTAGGCTTTAAATGTCATGTGAAATTGGAAATTCCATTTTCAAAGTAGAAATGTCATTTTTATACTATAAATGTCATCTGTTAAGTCAGAACTTCTATGACAAGCTATAAATGTCATTTTTAAGGTTCAAATGTCATATGTCAAATTGGAAATTCCATTTTTAAAGTAGAAATGTCATTTTTATACTATAAATGTCATCTGTCAAGTCAGAACTGACGTATGACAAGCTGTAAATGTCATTTTTAAGGTTTAAATGTCATCTGTCAAATTAGAAATGAAATGATGAAGTAATAATTAATTACTAAATTAAATTAACAATTAGTTCAAGGTCAATTGAATGTCAATAGGAAAAAATAAACATAACGTCACAAAAATTTTAATAAGTATAAAAATGTATTTTGGAGTTATTCAATGACTCTTTGATAAACAAAATTAAGAGTTTTCGAGAAAATTGATTTTTTAAATCGTTATGTTATTAGAATTGTCAAAACGTTTCATAATTAGGGATTTATTGCTCTTTGGAATAAAAAACCCTAGTTGATGGAAATTAATAAATGAAGAAGTTATAATAATACATACTGCAGGAATCGATAGAGGATTTCTTATTATTTGGATATTTAAAACTGACCATGCTACATAAACAGTTAATCACTAAAATTTATTTAAAATTTTATTTTGTGAGGTTATGTTAATCTAGCTCCTCTGACATTGACATAAATTGTAAAATATATGCAACCCAAATAGCATAGTGGCATAAAAAGTTGCATTTAAAAATAAATTTAATTAAAAACATTTTCTTTGCAGGTAAATATTTTAAATAAAGGCAATGTTATTGAGTTTATGGAAGAAGAATATAAAGTTATAGGTGATGAGAAGAAAGAGATGAAGAAGAAAGGTAAAAAGGTAAAAGGGAAAGCTAAAAAATCGAAAAAAGGAAAAAAAAATCCTGTTGATGAATTAAAAAAATATCTTCTCCTCAAAACGAAAGAAATGTTACAAAGAAACATCGTAGCGAAAGCTTTCTTACATTTACGAATTTTTATTATATTAATTAAAAACGAAACGACCGATATAATGAAAACGTTAATACAATTTTTCAGTTTAAAAACGATTCAAAAATGCCTTCAGTTACTCATCCAACGAGGAATCATCGAATATAACAAATTAAATATCATGGTTATTTATAAATTTTTAAATTTACTGAACGATTTTTTAAAGAAAAAAGATAAACATATCTCAACTGGTGACATATTCTACGGACTTTATTGGAAAATAATAGAAAATCAAAAAAATTCTAATCTAATCGAACCGGAAATCGATACAAACGAAGAAATTTACAAAGTTTGTTTTTATTGTTGCAAAAAATCGAATAAAAAACTCATAATTTGCCCAATGTGCGGATTGGTTTACTTTTGTTCACAAGAATGTAACAAATTAAGTAACAAAAAATCAACGATTCATAACTGCAATTATCTATATTATGACAAAGAAAGATTTAAGATGAACGAATCCTCAAAGTTTGAAAACGCATACAAAGAATCGAACCAACTCCAAGAAGCCTTAAACAAAGCCTATGGAGATATTTATAACAATTTAATGGGTAAATTTGGATCACTTCGAATTTACAATCTATTAAAACTTTCGAAGTGTGACGATTTATCACGAATTGATTATCTTATAAAATCGTGTGGGTTTATTCGAAACTTTGTGGAAGAAAAACTTGAAATTGTTGCAAGTGATGAGAAAGAACTCATAGAGACGCTTGGAGACGCTTTAGAGGCTCAAAACATTTTAAAAGAGATTAGGAGGAAGAAAAAGTCCACATCTAAATTGAGTGTACGTAGCAGATCAAACGCTAGTTTAAAGAAAAGAATTAAGAAAAAGTCACAATCTAAATTGAGTATTCGAAGTAGATCAAACGTTAGTTTAAAGAAAAGTAAGAAAAAGTCACAATCTAAATTGAGTATTCGAAGTAAATCAAACGTTAGTTTAAAGAAAAGTAAGAAAATAATAAAAGTTAAAGAAGTAAATATTGTAGTTTAATTTTTATCTGATTTTGGTAATAAATTAAAAGTTTAACTAAAACTTTACTTCATTAATAACGATGTAACAAGACAAATTTAAAATAATTTGTTTATTAATAAAATTAATAAGAATTGAGGTGAAGTTGAACGCAAACGTCACTGTCAAAATTGATTGGATTGTCATTGTCAATTCAAATCACATTTACTACGATATTATTTAAGAAACACTTAAATTTCTTGTAAATCTTAATATCACAAAAAAATTCTAATTATTTTTGATTAAAACAAAATTAACGTTAAAAAGAATTATTTTCACCAAAACGCTAATTAGGTTGCCTATCCTGCAAATACCGAAATGAAAACAAAACTTAATAAATTAAAAGTTTAACTAAAAATGTACTTCTCTATCTTTTTAATAAAGATGTTTAACAAGACAAATTTTAATTGTTTATTAATAAAGTTAATAAGAATTGAGGTGAAATTGAACGAAAACGTCACTGTCAAAATTGATTGGATTGTCATTGTCGATTCAAATCACATTTATTACGATATTATTTAAGAAACGCTTAAATTTCTTGTAAATTTTAATACAACAAAAAGATTCTAATTATTTTTGATTAAAACTTAATTAACGTTAAAAAGAATTATTTTCACCAAAATGCTAATTAGGTTGCCTACCCTGCAAATATCGAAATGAAAAAAAAATTAATAAATTAAAAGTTTAACTAAAAATGTACTTCTCTATCTTTTTAATAAATATGTTTAACAAGACAAATTTTAATTATGTTTATTAATAAAATTAATAAGTATTGAGGTGAAATTGAACGTAAACGTCACTGTCAAAATTGATTGGATTGTCATTGTCGATTCAAATGACATTTGTTACGATATTATTTAAGAAACGCTTAAATTTCTTGTAAATTTTAATACAACAAAAAGATTCTAATTATTTTTGATTAAAACTTAATTAACGTTAAAAAGAATTATTTTCACCAAAATGCTAATTAGGTTGCCTACCCTGCAAATATCGAAATGAAAAAAAACTTAATAAATTAAAAGTTTAATTAAAAATGTACTTCTCTATCTTTTTAATAAATATGTGTAACAAGACAAATTTTAATTATGTTTATTAATAAAGTTAATAAGAATTGAGGTGAAATTGAACGTAAACGTCACTGTCAAAATTGATTGGGTTGTCATTGTCGATTCAAATCACATTTATTACGATATTATTTAAGAAACGCTTAAATTTCTTGTAAATTTTAATACAACAAAAAGATTCTAATTATTTTTGATTAAAACTTAATTAACGTTAAAAAGAATTATTTTCACCAAAATGTTAATTAGGTTGCCTACCCTGCAAATATCGAAATGAAAAAAAACTTAATAAATTAAAAGTTTAATTAAAAATGTACTTCTCTATCTTTTTAATAAATATGTGTAACAAGACAAATTTTAGTTATGTTTATTAATAAAGTTAATAAGAATTGAGGCGAAGTTGAACGAAAACGTCACTTTCAAAATTGATTGGATTGTCATTGTCGATTCAAATCACATTTATTACGATATTATTTAAGAAACGCTTAAATTTCTTGTAAATTTTAATACAACAAAAAGATTCTAATTATTTTTGATTAAAACTTAATTAACGTTAAAAAGAATTATTTTCACCAAAATGCTAATTAGGTTGCCTACCCTGCAAATATCGAAATGAAAAAAAACTTAATAAATTAAAAGTTTAATTAAAAATGTACTTCTCTATCTTTTTAATAAATATGTGTAACAAGACAAATTTTAATTATGTTTATTAATAAAATTAATAAGAATTGAGGTGAAGTTGAACGTAAACGTCACTGTCAAAATTATCATTACGATACGTTACGTCATTACGATATTATTTAAGAAACGCTTAAATTTCTTATAAATCTTAATACCACAAAAAGATTTTAATTATTTTTGATTAAAACTTAATTAACGTTAAAAAGAATTATTTTCAGCAAAATGCTAAATAGGTTGCCTACCCTGGAAATGCCACCATTATCTAAAAACGACTTAACCTCAATTGCGTCGTTTCTTCTTTCTCTTTAGTTTATTTTTAGCGTAATTTTCGTCGAGGTGACAGCTGTTATAAGACACAATCAGGTAAATCCCCTACTTTTATGTAATAAATATGCACATTTAATTATAAAGATGGGTAATGAGCAGAGTACAAAGGACACCACCACCAAAGAAGAAATGGATCGGTACCAACAAGAGTACCACGCTATGAAAAACCTACTAATGCAAAAAGATCAATACATAAACGAGATGATGATGGACAGAAGAAAAATAAACGAAAACTTGGAAGATCTACAAAGAAAGTATTCAGAAGCATTGCAAGGTAAGCAATCCGTGTGTGAGAATCTTGGGGCTATCAAAGCGGAAAGAGGTGATTTATACAAAAAGATAGAAAATTTAAGAAAGCAATTAGAAGATAAAGATGATGAAATGAAAAAGAAAGTGGCGGAAGCAAAAAAAAATAAAAAAACCGTAACCAGCGAATTAAATAAATACAAATCGATGGCAGAATTTGAAGCAATAATGAAATTAAATTCAGATCTGGTCGATTTTCAGGCTAAAATCGAATCTGTGGTCTCAAGCAATTGCGATTTGCTACAAATGAGTGATGAAGATCGCGAAATCGAATCGATTAAGCGAAAAAACGCCGAGTTATACGGCCAGTTACAAAACAGCAATGTTAGAACGCTTATAAAGGAGAAATCGGCTGAATTAAAGGAAGCTGAGAACGAGTTAAATATGAAAAGGGAAGTTGCAAGACAAGAATTTTTAAAGGTTAATGGCAAATTGATGATTATTAAAGAAAAAATGGCTCAAAGTACAAAAAAATTCGCTGGGACAATCGAAAATGCAATGGGGGAGCTCCAAAAAAATCTCCAAACGTTTCAAAAAGAAGTAAACGGGTTAGAAGAGGCCAATATAAAAATTAACGAGTCTTTATCCTATGTTAAAATAAAAAACATTTTATTACAACAACAAAACGCGCTTATGAATGAAATGATTGGGTCAAATATTCCTGGGACATCCTCTACAAACCCAAATAAACCAATTCATAAGCTTAATAACGATTTTTCTGCAAAACCAAACAATACAAAACCAAATAACGTCAATAATCCTCCAACTCCATCATCACATCAACAACAAAATGATCCTTTCGATGATTATTGCAAAGTTTCAAACATTTTTTATCAAAATTTGAATGAAACTAAAGATGATTCAGACGACGATAATTATAGTATTTTCGACGACGACGCAAGCGAGACAAGTTCGATTTCTGGTAAACCAAAAACGTACAAAATAATCCTTCTAAACGTACACGAAATGGGTAATAAATCGGACGATGTTAAAGTAGAAAAAGTTTTGCGAGAATTAACCGCGTTAAGTTTGGATGATGTCGATGTAAGGAGAGTTGGAAAACCGACGGGAAAACCACGCCCGATTGTTGTTGCCTTTGATTCGTTCGATTACGTTCGAGAGATATTAAAAAATCGCTATTCTTTGAAAAAGACCAAGTTTAATATGATTAGAGTGTGTCCTTATAAAAGTAAACCCGATTCGAATAAAGGATATAGGGAGTTTAAACCAAGGGGAAAGAATTTTGGGAACGGGGGGGAAAAAAGATTTCCTAAACAAAATAATAATACGTGTGATGGAGGAAAAAATTCGAAAAAGGGGCCTTTTTAATTTTATTTTTGGTTATTTTTGTAATAAGTTGTTAAATAGTTCAAAAAAATGGGAATCATTTAATTTTAATTAATTAATTTTTTCAACTAACCTACTATGATCTCTCTTTCTTATTGGATTAATTATTTTTAAATTTATTTTTCGAACGGTGTAATTTCATACAAATTGTATATAATTAAGTGATCAATTAAGTTGATTTAATCGATAATTTGTACTATTTTAGTTTTGTTATTAATCTAACCATTACTGTATATCTTGATATAAAGTTTTGAAATAAAATGGTGTGTTTTATTTAAATAAGTCTTTAATTCATTGTTAAAAAAATTAAGTTTTTGAGGTGTTTTGAAATAAAAAATGTTAAAATTCGTTTAAAATTGACGAAAACAAGATACAAGATGTAAAAAATAAGGTTGGTTAAAGTTAAAAATGTTCTCTCCAGAACGTATCAGAATTAAGAAAAACATCCTAGTCAAGTTTCCTGACTAAAAACTGAACCACCCTGTATATAAGCGTTTGAGGTTAATTTATGCTTTTAAGTTTCCTGGATTAACAATGTTTCAAAATTATGCGAGATCAGTTTCATCCACAACATTTTTACCTAATATCTTTAATTTTTGAGTTATAATAAAAATCTATCAAAAATATTAATTTAGAGGTTCTATCATTTTATGCTCTGTAACTAAAAATGCGGAATATTTGGAAAGAAATCGTTCGTGGATTATGTTTTGTTGCTTCATTACGAACAGTTTTCATCTACAACATTGTCACCTAACATTTTTAATTTTTGAGTTATAATAGAATCTGTCAAAAACGTCAATTTAGAGGTTCTGTCATATTATGCCTTATAACTAAAAATGTGGAATAATTGGAAAGAAATCGTTCATGGATTATATTTCGTTGGTTTATTACGAACAATTTTCATCCACAACATTTTCTCATAACATTTTTAGTTTTTGAGTTATAACAGAAACTGTCAAAAACGTCAATTTACAGATTCTGCCATTTTATGCTTTATAACTAAAAATGTGGAATAGTTGGAAAGAAATCGTGCGTGGATTATGTTTTGTTGGTTCATTGCGAACAATTTTCATCCACAACATTTTCATCTAGCATTTTTAGTTTTTATAATAGAATCTGTCAAAAACGTCAATTTAGAGGTTCTATCATTTTATGCTCTGTAACTAAAAATGCGGAATATTTGGAAAGAAATCGTTCGTGGATTATGTTTTGTTGGTTCATTACGAACAATTTTCATCCACAACATTTTCTCGTAACATTTTTAGTTTTTGAGTTATGATAGAAACTGTCAAAAACGTCAAATTACAGATTCTGCCATTTTATGCTTTATAACTAAAAATGTGAAATAGTTGGAAAGAAATTGTTCGTGGATTATGTTTTGTTGGTTCATTACGTACAATTTTCATCCACAACATTTTCACCTAACATTTTTAATTTTTGAGTTATAATAGAATCTGTCAAAAACGTCAATTTAGAGGTTCTATCATTTTAAGCTTTATAACTAAAAATCCGAAATAGTTGGAATGAAATCGTTCGTGGATTATATCTTATTGCTTCATTATGAACAACTTTCATCCACAACATTATCACCCAGAATTTTTAGTTTTTGAGTTATAATATAGAATCTGTCAAAAACGTCAATTTAGAGGTTCTATCATTTTAAGCTTTATAACTAAAAATCCGAAATAGTTGGAATTAAATCGTTCGTGAATTATATCTTATTGCTTCATTATGAACAACTTTCATCCACAACATTTTTTAATAACATTTTTAGTTTTTGTGTTATAATAAAATCTGTCAAAAACGTCAATTTAGAGGTTCTGCCATTTTATGCTTTATAACTAAAAATGCGGAATAGTTTGAAAGAAATCGTGCGTGGATTATGTTTTGTTGGTTTATTACGAACAATTTTCATCCACAACATCTTCACCTAGCATTTTTAGTTTTTGAGTTATAATAGAAGCTGTCAAAAACGTCAATTTACAGATTCTGCCATTTTATGCTTTATAACTAAAAATGTGGAATAGTTGGAAAGAAATCGTGCGTGGATTATGTTTTGTTGGTTCATTACGAACAATTTTCATCGACAACATTTTTATCTAGCATTTTTAGTTTTTGAGTTATAATAGAATCTGTCAAAAACGTCAATTTAGAGGTTCTGTTATTTTATGCCTTATAACTAAAAATGCGGAATATTTAAAAAGAATTTGTTCGTGGACTATGTTTTGTTGATTTGTTACGAACAATTTTTATCCAGAACATTTTCACCTAGCATTTTTAATTTTTGAGTTATAATAGAATTTGTCAAAAACGTCAATTTCGAGGTTCTGTCATTTTTTACTTTATAACTAAAAATTCGAAATAATCATAACGAAATCGTTCGTAGATTATGTTTCTGCGATTAATTATAAACAATTTTTATTAATATCATTCTCATCCACAACTTTTAATTTTTGAGTTAAAACCAGTTTTGTTGTTAAATACCTCAAATTTGAAATGGTCCAGATTTTAAACCCGCTATGTTGGTAAACATCACAGATGGATTATAATCGTTTGCGGATAACGTTTTATTGCTTAATTACGAACAATTTTCATCCACAACATTTTCTCGTAACATTTTTAGTTTTTGAGTTATAATTAAAACTGTCAAAAACGTCAATTTCGAGATTCTGTCATTTTTTGCTTTAGAACTAAAAATTCGAAATAGTCATAATGAAATCGTTCGTAGATTATGTTTTTGCGACTAATTATAAACAATTTTTATTAATATCATTCTGATCCACAACTTTTAATTTTTGAGTTAAAGTTAAAACCAATTTTGTTGTTAAATACCTCAAATTTGAAATGGTCCAGATTTTAAACCCGCTATGTTGGTAAACATCACAGATGATAACGTTTTATTGCTTCATTGCGAACAATTTTCATCCATATAACATTTTTAGTTTTTGAGTTATAATAAAAACTGTCAAAAACGTCAATTTCGAGGTTCTGTCATTTAACTGTCAAAAATTCGAAATAGTCATAATGAAATCGTTCGTCGATTATGGTTTTGCGATTAATTATAAACAATTTTTATTAATATCATTCTCATCCACGGCTTTTAATTTTTAAGTTAAACCCCACTTTGTTATTAAACACCGAAAATTTGAAATGTTGCCGATTTTAAACTCTTTAGGTTGGTACATATCATATATTAAATTTAATCGTTTGCAAACAACGTTTTATTGCTTCATTTAGCATTTTTAGTTTTTAAGTTGTAATAAAAATGTGCCAAAACATCAATTTTAATTTTTTTAAACTGTTTATAGATGGCGCTACAGTGTTGCCACCGGTTTTCACCAAAACGGAATTTAAAGTCATTATTAATTCTTTTTTATTTATCCGGTTTCAAAATTGTTAAATTTTGATTTTTTTTTAATATTTAATGCTTATTTAAGATGACTTAATAAACTTCACATTGATGTGAAGATAGTTAATTTCAAGTGACAGTTAAAAGCGTCATATTTTTCTAACCTACAAATAAATGTGTTGGTACTTACCGTTTAGTAATTTCTTGATAATACATCGAAGTCACTCCGCATCCACCTCCTAATCCTGTAGTAAAAAACTCAACAACATCCTCTTTGAATTTTGCGACCTTTTCTGCGTTTAAATCTTGCGGGTGGATTCCAAAAACAAGCATGAGTTGTTCCGGAGCGCTTCTAATTGATAACTGACGAAAATGCCCGGTTTGTTTCTCTGGATTAAACACCTCCAAATCGTAGGATTTCACGAAATCTTCGTAATATTTTACGGCGAGTTTCATCGTTTCGGGAATGTGACACAAATCTTGTATTGGCCCCACTGAGGTAATTCCATTTGCGTAACTTCCCATTCGAAAACCGACGGTTTTTTCGTTCGTTTCTTCGTTGATTCCAACTGAAAATTCGCATTTATTGCGATATCTGTTAAAAATTGTGTTAAAAAAAGGAAATTAATTGATTTTATTTAATACCCTTCAATTTTATCAACACTTCGAATTTGGAGAAGTTCGCAAGGTAATCCATTGTGTTTAAGTTTTTGCTTTTCAATCCATTTTTGTAGACTATTATTTTGGTGGGATAAATTATTTCCAAATTTAATTAAAATGTCTCGAATGGTTTTTTGTTTTTCTTCGAGTTGTTGGTTATAGGTTATGTTCCAAAAAGGGATTGTTGAATCTTTTAGGCGCTCTAAAAGGGGTTTATCAGATTTGATTTTTTTATTTGGCGAGTTCTCTTCAGTGTCTTTTCGTTTTTTAACTAAAGGATCTGGAGCTGGTTTTGCTTTCTAAAAAAAATCAACTTTAATAACTATTACCACTCAATTTTAATTAATTTACTATTGCATTTAAAACTTTTCCTTTCCATTTATAATTCGTAATCGTGTTTATTGCATTTTGGCGGTCTTCTTCGTTCCGGAAACAAACAAAAATGTAAGAACAATTCTGTCGAGGCGATTTAATTTTATTCGAAGCCAATTTTAATTTTTCGTTTAATAATTTCCTAAATTCCTACAAACTTAAATTAATAATAACCCCTTTTTATTAAACAATTTATTTATTTACGTTTATCCCATAATATTTCGGTAAATTCTTAACCTCAATCTTGAAACTTTCCGATGAAAAATCGCGTTCTAAATAAGCGTACGGGTTATCTCCATCCTTATTAGGTACATTTTCCTCTGCTTTTTCATTGCTCATCGTTTAAAACTCTAAACAACAACAAAAACTTACAAATTATAAACACACTTTGAATCAAACTTAACCTCAAATCATAAAAATGACAGTTATTTAGCGCAACATAACCTCAATTTATAGTACAAAGAAACTAAATTTGTTTTAATAAAATTTTATTAATTTTTTGTAGTTTTTGCAATGGAAAATGAAAAACACCAAACTGAAAATGACGCGGTGCACCCGAGATTTCAAGAGGCGCTAACAACGGAGCAAATTGACGAATGCCAAAGAAACATGTATTATTATTGCGAACATTGCAAATTATATTTCGCTGCTACTAATGATGGGTTAAAATATCATTTTAAAGGGGATATAGTGGAACATCCCCCTTATGCTTCGTGTTTTTATTGTTCGGGTGCTGTTTATAGCTATAAATATCGCTCCGAGAATTGTGTTTATCACAATTGTAAAAAGAAGAATTAATTTTATTAAATTTATTGAGTTTATTTTTTGTTTATTAATATAAATAAATTTATGTATTCAAAAACATTCGTTGTAATCATTGGAGTTAGAATATGTCAAAAACGTCAATTTGGAGGTTGTCATTTTATATAAAAATGTGGAATAGTTGGAAAGAAAACGTTCGTAGATTATATTTTGTTGAATCATTACGAACAATTTTCATCTACAACATTTTCACCTAGCATTTTTAGTTATAATAGAATCTGTCAAAAAACGTCAATTTAACGTTTATTTAACTTTATAAATAAAAATTCGGAATACTTTGAAAGAAAACGTGAGAGGATTATGTTTTGTTGCTTCATTATGGACAATTTTCATCCATAACATTTTTAGTTTTTGAGTTATAATAGAATCTGTTATAGAAAATAGCTTCGTAGAAACTTAAAATTGAACGCATATGGCGCCATCTGTTGGGAATTTTTTGGAATTATTCAGCTAAGAACCGAACCACAAGAATACAGGTTAGATTGGGTTTATATATAAAAGTTCCAACCACATACTAATTGTTTAGAGCCACTATGTGGCTCCCCAATTAACGCTCCGACTGGTTGGGAATTCCTCAGATTCAATTACCTATGGTAGTTACACCTCAAAATAATGCCGCCACATTTGAATATCACTGCTTCATATGACATGCGAGAATGCATCTGACGAAGTTATAACATTAACTGAAAAAAAATTATGTCTATTATGATCTAATTATTTAATCATACCATTATTACTTTATTATACTCTTACCGAAAAATCACTTTAAAATGACGTTTTCGTCCGTCATTTTGAACAAACTTCAACTTTATAATTTTAAAAGTTGAAGTTAGCAGCAAATTTAAAAATATAACACGAATTGGAATCTATACTTTTTAAATTAAAAGAATAATATTGGTAATAACTGTTATTGCTGTCTCGCATCATTCCCACTAATAATAATAAAATTGTTAGTTTAATTAAATTATTTCAGTATAGACGCTGATACCATCTTACGGTGGGATTTCGACATACAATCTGTCAAAAACGTCAATTTAGAGGTTCTGTCATTTTATGCTTTCTAACTAAGAATCCGAAATAGTTGGAAAGAAATCGTTGATGGATTGGTTTGTCGGATCATTACGAAGAATTTTCATCCACAACATTTTCTCATAACATTTTTAGTTTTTGAATTCTTATAATAGAAACTATCAAAAACGTCAATTTACAAATTCCTCCATTTTATGATTTATAACTAAAAATGTGGAATAGTTGGAAAGAAATCGTGCGTGGATTATGTTTTGTTGGTTCACTACGAACAAATTTCATCCACAACATTTTCACCTAACATTTTTAATTTTTGAGTTATAATAGAATCTGTCAAAAACGTCAATTTAGAGGTTCTGTCATATTATGCCTTATAACTAAAAATGTGGAATAATTGGAAAGAAATCGTTCATGGATTATATTTCGTTGGTTTATTACGAACAATTTTCATCCACAACATTTTCTCATAACATTTTTAGTTTTTGAGTTATAATAGAAACTGTCAAAAACGTCAAATTACAGATTCTGCCATTTTATGCTTTATAACTAAAAATGTGAAATAGTTGGAAAGAAATTGTTCGTGGATTATGTTTTGTTGGTTCATTACGTACAATTTTCATCCACAACATTTTCACCTAACATTTTTAATTTTTGAGTTATAATAGAATCTGTCAAAAACGTCAATTTAGAGGTTGTGTCATATTATGCCTTATAACTAAAAATGTGGAATAATTGGAAAGAAATCGTTCATGGATTATATTTCGTTGGTTTATTACGAACAATTTTCATCCACAACATTTTCTCATAACATTTTTAGTTTTTGAGTTATAATAAAAACTGTCAAAAACGTCAAATTACAGATTCTGCCATTTTATGCTTTATAACTAAAAATGTGAAATAGTTGGAAAGAAATTGTTCGTGGATTATGTTTTGTTGGTTCATTACGTACAATTTTCATCCACAACATTTTCACCTAACATTTTTAATTTTTGAGTTATAATAGAATCTGTCAAAAACGTCAATTTAGAGGTTCTGTCATATTATGCCTTATAACTAAAAATGTGGAATAATTGGAAAGAAATCGTTCATGGATTATATTTCGTTGGTTTATTACGAACAATTTTCATCCACAACATTTTCTTATAACATTTCTAGTTTTTGAGTTTTTTTTGAGTTTTTGAGCTTTATAACTAAAAATTCAAAATAGTTATAATAAAATTGTTCGTGAACTATGTTTATGCGATTAATTATAAACAATTTTTTATTTATTAATATAAATAAATGTATGTATTTAAAAGCATTCGTTGTAATCATTGGTGTAAGACCCGCTATGTCTCACTTTCGGGTCGCAAATCGTTCCTTTGACCATTTCCTCAGCGTAAGCGGACAAAACCCGAAAGTTAACATCTTTAGGTTCAAAACGGTTGTAAATAAAGAACGGTAATCGATTCGTAATCATCCAAACGCTTTGTTTCGGTTCATTATCGACTTTGACGTCGTTCGGGAACACCATTGTGTAATCGTTTTGAGCGATTATCGCTAAATTTTTTCGTTTATAAGTTTTTCTGGAATCCCAACAACCCAGCGCGTTCTGAGTGACTAATCCAAAGAATAAAACTCCGTTTCTATCCATAGCACAAGACGAGGCTTGCCCGTTTTTACCTCGACTTTGTCCGTAAACTTTAAAGGCGTCTTTATACGAACTCCATCCAGTTTCGTTACGAATGATTGAGGTTTTGGTGTAAAATTCCCTAAAACTCGACATCGGATTAAAATACAACGTCCTATCTATCGAGTATTTATTAAAAGGGCTTAAAGCTAGTCCAAAAATCCCGTCGGTCCATTCGAATTCTAATCCGTTTACTTTATAAGCAGCGGCTAAAGGATCGGGGAAAAATAAATGATCGGTTACTCGCCAAGCTTTTAACGTTTTTAGGTTAAAAACGACTAAGCCAAATCGCCAAACATCGGCTAAATAAGCGTGGGCTGAGGAGCAATCATCTTTTTGAACGTCAATTAAAATGTTTGAGTATAAACTATCTTGTTTTACTAGTTCTTGGGGTAAATCGTATTTCAAAATTAATTTGTCTGTTGAAAGATCGAAGATTAATATCGAAGGGGGGCAAACTTGTTGAGATTCCGTTGCTACGTTGATTTGACCAGAGTCTAAAACCCATAATCGATCGCATACATCAGCTTGCATGCGAAAAACCGATGTTAGACGATTACAAGAACCTAAAATGTAATAATAATTAACTAAGAAAATTAAAATTAATTAATCAACCTGTGTTATGCCACGACCAATTAGGATAAGGAACCAATAAAGGCGATTTCTCCAAAGAATCCGTTGGTAACACTGTTAAAGTAGCAGGAACGCCGCTTTTCCAAACCGGTAATGAAATAAAAATCCGATTCTTATAAACTTCAATACCAAGTGGGAGATTATTTTCTTGAATAAAATTTCCACTCGCCAAAACGGAATTTCGATGCACCTCGCTTTCGAAAAGAAAATCGATTTGGCTCCATTGAAAAACGGTTTTAAATGGACCACTTTTCTCGGAAAACACTTCTTTACGCTCCTCCTGTTTAAGCGGGGTCGTTAAAAGCGCTCCTAACGATAAAAGATACGGCAAAATTCCGTAATTTAATCGGGTATCTAAAAAAGAAATTCTAAATCAATTTGAATTAAAAAGGATGGGAACTTTAACGAACTATTTCGCGACATAACGTATCGAAATCTATGTCGTAAATGAGAGAACGGAATTAATTAAAACGTGAGAAGTCAAGAAAAAACGTTGAAGGGAAAAAGAATTATAACTGTAATAATTTTTTTATCATAAAAAAATGGTCTAATTGATTAATATTTATGTTGTTTGTTATTTAGCGTTATGACATTGAGAATAAGAAAGAATGTGAAGTAAACACAAATGATTGAAAGTAGCGAATAAAAAGTAAATATTAAATTAAAACTTAAAAATTTAGAAAAGTAGGTGAATTTACATAAAATACATGTCGTTAACATGGAATGGGTACGCAAGTAATTGAGCCAAAACGAATCGGTTGCAAAATAACACATGTTATTACTCTAAAATTATGGATAATTAATTTTATTGAAATTTATTCTGTCAATTTGACATTGACAGAAAGTAAAGTTGGTACCAATTGTTAAAATTAACAGGGAATTTTTGTTATTTATGTTTTGAAAGCAATTTAATTTGATAACCATTTCATACAACAACGTTTTTTCGTTTTACACGATTTTACTTAGCAAAATCCAAGATTTCTTCGAATCTAAACAGTTACAATTCTTCCAAAACGTTTCCTATTTCTCGTTTAACTTGTTTCCCATTTCTTAACCTATAATCTTCTTCGTTTAAAGCTTATTGCGACCTTTACAAACCATTTCTCAATGTAGTTTCATCACTTTCTACATCGAATGACTTTTCTTAAACGTTTAGTTTCTTCAGCAATTTTAATCATAACTTAACGATTTATTGAGCGCAGTTTTGATATAACCTGAGACAATTCACATTATAACAATAGGTTATAAACAATATTTACGCAACTAATTGGTTTACACTAGAAATCTTTAACACAATTTTTTTTATAAATCACCTTCTTTTATACGTTAAATTTGACAGTTGGAAATGTCAAAAATGTACTTAATATGGATGAGTAACGCTAGATGGGGTGAGTTGTGTATTAATACAATTATTTAACAATTTATAATTAATATGAGATTATTCACATAACAACAGTATGATTATAAACAATATTTACCCAACTAATTGATTTACAATAGAAATGTTTAAAACATTTTTAATTAGAATAAAATTTGTTAGTTAGAAATGTCAAAAATTTACTTAATACGGATGATTAACGCTAGATGGGGTGAGTTGTGTATTAAAACAATTATTTAACAATTTATAATTAACATGAGATAATTCACATAATAACAGTATGATTATAAACAATATTTACCCAACTAATTGATTTACAATAGAAATGTTTAAAACATTTTTAATTAGAATAAAATTTGTCAGTTGGAAATGTCAAAAATTTACTTAATACCGATGATTAACGCTAGATGGGGCGAGTTGTGTATTAAAATAATTATTTAACAATTTATAATTAACCTGAGATAATTCACATAACAACAATAGAATTATAAAGAATTTACGTGGCTAATTGATTTGCAATAGAAATCTTTAATAACAATTTACATAATATGAACGATTATCGGTAGATGGGGCGAGTTATGTATTAAAATATTATCACTTATTTAATAATTTGATTAAACTGAAATAACTCACATAACAACAATAGATTATAAACAATATTTAAGCGTTTGCAATAGAAATCTTTAATATAATTTTTGTATTAAAATAAAATTTGTCATTTGGAAATGTCACTTAATATGGATGATGGGGTGAGTTATTTTTTTTTTACAGAAATTACTAAATTTATAACAATAAGCATTTGTGTATTTAATGATTATTAATTATTTAACAATTAATATTTAACCTACCTATCAATAATGCATCTCACAATAAAGTTTTGATTTATTTATATATTTATAACCCCCTTTTTGGCCTTCTAATTGCCATTTATTTGACATATTTGTTGTCAACTGTCAGTGTCAACCACAAATTTATAAACAATACCAACCTTAATAAAAAAAAATTATTTTATTTTTAAACAAACAGATTTTAATTGTTTTGTTAGAATCTATATTAACAAAACGATTTCTTTATCTGATTTCACAAAATACCACTCATTCTTAATTAAATTATTATTTATTAATGCATATGTAACTCAATTAAAAAACATAATTAAAAACTAAATCCTCGTGTGTTCACTGATTAATCAGTGAACTGAATATACTTAATCCTGGTGTAATTTCTAAATAAAACACACTTTCTTTTAAGATAAAAATGAAAATGCTATTTCAAAGATAAATTCTAGAAATTATTTAAGATTAAAACTTACCATAATTTGTTGAATTCATTTGATGAAAAACGTTGTTTTCAACGTGAACATCGGAATTTTGAAAATCATACCACGATGATGACAAAGCCATTATTACAACTCTCTTAAAATACTTAAAAAACGATTTAAGTATTGGATTTTAAGTTATAAATTAACAATAAATTTTTATTTTATTTATTTTGCTGTTTCCGGCAACGTGCGTCAAACGCAACTGGAACTAAACAACTTTGAAAGAGTCGAGAAAGTATCAGCTTTAATGGCACATAGAATAAATTGAATTCGAAAATGGAATTAAAACGACTTATATAATCATCCCGAAAACGATTTCGCACCGAATAATACTAAAATTCGAATAATCTCAAGGGAATTTATTAATTGGTGAAGTAATTTAGGATTAATTAAGTTAATTAAAGAAAATTTAAATAAAATAAAGTGGAGCCATCTATCGGGATAAACCCGATTTATTAAGGTGCATAATTGGTTGCCTATATTAATTATTTAATTAAAACAGGCTTTTTTTAGTTAAGATTTTAATTAATTAACAAAAAATAAAATAACTTCTATATAATTATTAATTAATTCTGAATATTATAGAGATGAGGCACAGTTATTTAAAGCACTTCTTTTTTTCACATTTATCACAGATAATTAATTAAACTAAACGAAAAGGACATAAAAACGATTACAAATTGTTATAAACAACCAAACGAAGATTCTTATTACAACATTTAGATGTTTAGTATCGCCTAAAAGGTGCTTTGGTGTATTGGGCGCGTTCTTCATTCTCTTTTTTGACTATTTGGAAGAAACTAAAGACTACTAACCACATGTATATGACAACGACTGAAAATATAAGAAACAAATTAAAAGAAATTCATTAAAACAGAGTTTTAATAACTTACTACAAGCGATAATCCCTAAAACTATGCATATAATCCCCGCGGTATCTTGGTCTTCGGAAAAGAAGTTATAAGCGGTGAATATCGTTGAAATTAGCACACCTAAAGGCATCATTATTCCCAATAAAACCCATGGAAGCATAAAGTACATGTTTCTCTACACCAAAAATTAATTTATTAAATAAAAATAATCATAAAATTAATTTTTTTGATACCTTTATTGTTCCTATCAATAGAAGCATCGATATAAATATGGTCATTGCGAAATTAATAACGATTATTATTGTAACTGAAATTAAATTCAATTATTACACTAAATCCAAAATTTATTTTTAGGTTATGTAATATTTACCAACAGATTTTGGGAGGATATCGTTGAGTAAAATAACTCTTAAATCCAAAGATATGGTGAATATTAAAATTATTCCTACCAAAGCTAGTAGCTAAAACATAAATGTGAATTTGAATAAAGTTATTCAATTAAATTTGAATTAACTTACTGCGCCAGCCAAAGCTGCGAAAATTGTGCCTGTTCTTAAGGAACCACAAAAACAACATGATTTTAAAACTGGCATTGTGTTAAAATTCCTAGAAGAAAATAATAATAAATTCATTTGTTTAAATTAAATTAATTAAAATTGGTGATATGAAATGTTGGTAATACAGGAAACTGTAATTTTTAAGAAATTACAGGAAACTGTAATTTTTTAAAATATCTTGTATTAAATTGAATATTGAGTTAACGTTTTTTGTAAATAATTTGTTATTTTAATGAAAAAGACATATTTTATAACGCGATGCTATAAATGTAAGAATGAGAAGAAGAACAAACGCCGATTAATAGATTTATGTACAACAAATAAACAGAAAATCGAAAATGGTTTCTTTAAACATAAAGAAATAGATAAATGCACATGGCATCAAGAAACAAGGCAACTCAAGTCGATTATAGACCACAGCATCACTCAACTAAATTCTAACATAACAACCCAAGATACAAGAGTTTGCAGAAGCCTAGAATTTTTTAGGAATTTTTTCCTAAACACTAAATATAATGAACGTCAATTTAAATCAGATATTTTTAAAAATATATATAAAATGAATGGCTCATCCTGGAAACTTTAAATTTGGTATAAGATAACCTCAAACATTCTTTTATAACCTCAAAGAGGTTCGTTCTTTAATTCCAAGCCGTTTGGGAGAAATTAATTTTTTTGTATAACCTCACTTTCAATAAACGTCAATTTGAATTAGATATTTAAAAAAATTATATAAAATAAATCGCTCATCCTGGAAACTTTAAATTTGGTATAAGATAACCTGAAACATTCTTTTATAACCTCAATGAGGTTCGTTCTTTAATTCCAAGCCGTTTAGAAGAAATTATTTTTTTTTGTATAATCTCACTTTCAATAAACGTCAATTTGAATTAGATATTTTAAAAAAATTATATAAAGTAAATGGCTCATCCTGGAAACTTTAAATTTGGTATAAGATAACCTCAAACATTTTTTTATAACCTCAAAGAGGTTCGTTCTTTAATTCCAAGCCGTTTGGGAGAAATTAATTTTTTTGTATAACCTCAATTTCAATAAACGTCAATTTAAATCAGACATTTTTAAAAAATTATATAAAATAAATGGGTCTTTTAAAAGTTAGTTTACCATATGCTTAACAAAAATGAAAGGTAATTAATAAGGCCTTCCGAAACCTTAGAGAAATACAGGGTGTTCCAAAGTTAAGTTTAAGTTATGGTTCTCCAAAGATTGCGTAAATTAATCGCTTCTGGTAAACACCTGTATAATAACATCCAATAGTATTAGCGGCGTTCGAAAGACTCAAGCTTTGTTTATCGATATGCGATAACGAATTTTAAGTGATCACATGAATTTTCAAAAATTTGTACATTTGAAAACAAGATATGAGTTGTAGCATTTAACACAGCAAATCAGCATATGTAAAAAGCATTGTGTAATTATAATCGATGCAGCTTTGATGGTAATATATGATGACAATTTTTTATATTTAACAGCATATATTTAACTCACCTGTATAGTAATGATATGCAGTGTAGATTTCTGTAGTGACAGAGTTAATTAATTTAATGATTTTATCTAAATCAATTTAATTTATACGATTTAAGCTCATATTTTTAATTAGCTTAACGAATTTTAATTTATAACTTAATTAAGAAATTTGATTTTCACATATTGCCATCTATTATCACAAATAAATACTATATTTTTAATGAAAACATTAAATTATCATAAATGAAAGCAAAAAATAAATTCAACCTTGTAGAAAAACCAAAATTACGTCCGCCTTGAGAGTGTTTTATTAATAGTATCATAAACAACACTTGGTATCGCGCCAAAAAGACTTCTCTTAAAAATTTGTAATCAAAGAAAATAGAAGAATTGTATAAACCTTGATATTAAGACGAAAAGTGGGAGAAAAAGAGATCAACCTAGACCCAGAATCGCGTTATTCTTGACCTAAATGACTTAATTTAGTCGCGACAGCACAAAGAAGTTAAAAAGATCAATTACATTTATCTAATTAAAACAGATTAAAATTAAAATGATTTCTAAATCATAAATAATCTTTAATTGGTTAATTAAATCGTTGCGCAAAACGTTAAGAGAATTTTAAGTTCCTTTTTTATCCCAACGCGTAGTAAACAAACTTAATATTTGCGTTTTTAGACTTTTCTTTGCTTTTCCCAGAGAATGTTTACTTTTCCTTCAATTCTGAGCAAATAAATATTTTTTTTCTTCGAATTTAGAGAATGGATAAAAAATGACCTAGACACGAGTGCCCACACTGAATGATGTCATGAAGAAGTCATTTCAGATCATTATTCGGGTTTTTAAACGTTTTAATAAGAAATTGAGATGAGATAAGAACTTTTTTAAAAAAAATGATCGTTTATGGATTCTAAAAAAAGAAAATAACGATTGCATAACTTCCCTTTTGAATCAAAACGGTGACCTTTTCAGTTAATAAAAGTGATAACGTGGGTGATCGCACCTTTTATAACCAGATCAATAGTTTTCCTTCGCCGTTATATAATCTTTTAAAAGAAAACTTTTAAAGTTAAAATTTTTTAACAATTACCTCATTTCTAAATAAAAACTTTTTTAAATAAAATAACGACCGTTTTTCATTAAACTCACCTTTAAATCTTTAATATGGAACTTTTTTGTAATAAACTTGTTAATATATTATTATATTATTAAAAAAATCGATTTGATTAAATTAAAGCGCAATTTCGTTCGAAAAACTTCGTCCGCGAACTACTAACTTTTGCAAAAGACTGAAACGATCAACAACTCGTTCGACCTCCTTTGCAATTTATACGTTTTAACACGTGACAATTCGATACCGCTCACCTTTTCACGTCTTTAATTACTTCGCGTGATTATTCTATCTCTTTGCGGTCGATGATAATCGCGAAAAAAGATTTAATTTCAAAAATTATTGAATAATTTTTTTGACAAATTTAAATAAATCAAAGTGAGAGAGTTCCATCTATCGGTTAAAAAGCGAAGTATAACATTTTATTAGGACATAATTCGATTAGCGATCGATAGATGGCGCGGTTTTCAACATGTCGATATAATTTGACATTACAGAAAAAAAAACGACATAAATTGCACTTACCATTGTGTGTGGAGTTTTTAGCTGCGTTTTTATCATACCTCTTCTCCTGCAGGCTTGATATTAATTGCTGAAAATGATGGAAAAAGATTTAATTATTTGACATATTTAAATAAATTAACAAGAAATCCATCTATCGGTTAAAAAGCGAATTGTAAATAGATTCAACTCTGCCTACTCAAAATGTGTATCAAATGTGTGTATCAAATTGCTCGTAGAAACTATATCATTACCTCGGATTATATTCTGGAAACCACTCAATAATAATAGGCTGCTGCAATTTGATATCTAAAAACAATAAGGATCAAGAGGTGCTGCTGGAGATAAAAAGACATAACATGGACATATGAGCAAGTTCAGAAACTGAAAAGAAAGGCATGGGCAACACAAAATGCGGCAAGTATATCTTTATTCTTTATATGATGACATAAAATATCTCTCTGATAGAATACTGCAGGCCACTATCAGCTACCAGATGTCTAAACTCACGCATCTGGTAAGCATTTATGCCGCATCTTAGAAAAGGACAACGTTGAAACTGAAATTAATAAATCTACGAAACCAAATACAAATAATTGGCAAATGAAAAACGAAAGGCATACTTAAAATACAGATTTCAAAGCTTAACACTAGATGAATATAATATCGCAGAAAGGATACAAGATAATACAGGAAGTATATTGGATCCTTCTTTAGAAGACGAAATTGTTGGCAAAAAAACAAGATATACTGCTATTAAAAGAATTGACAACGCTGATAGAAGGCTAGATATTATCCGCATGAGACTAGATTCCAAATCACTTAAACACAAGATACTGCTTCTAGAAGAGTACCTTCTGCTTGTAGAAGACTAGATACTGTTGGCAAAAAATTAGATCCTCCTTATAAAATGCTAGATAGTGCTGCTACATGACCACGCACTGTATTGGAATATTAGATACTGCTAAATATTGCTGGCACAACACTAGATACCACTAGCAAAAGACTAACTACTGTAGGCAGAAAACTAAATATTGCAAGCATGAGATTAGATCTTCCTTATAGAAGACTATACGCTGTGGGCAGAAAATTAGATTCTTCTTTTTGTATCTTATAAAACGCTAGACACTACGACTGGACACTACTAAATATTGCTGGCCAAAGACTAGATACTGTTGGCAGAATATAAAATACTGCAGATAGGAAACTAGATCTTTAGAACCGCTCATATCGTAATACAGTCATTGCTGGATTCTATCAAAAAAAGTTCTTAGAACTGAAGAAGATTTTGAAGAGGTGCTTGCAAGTAGCAGAAAGTCTTGGAGGATCAACTCCGTGTTAAAGGAATAACCCACCTTGATGTTGAAATGGGTAAAATTGGAACCTGTTTGTTGCAAATGCGAAAAAGAAACTTTAGGAGTCCACAAGTGTAATAGCTGTGTGCAGGATGTTCATGTCATCTTTGACAGGAGTATAATTAGTACCAACGAGGGTTACGGAGCATCAGTTTTATGTCATCGGTGTGCAAAAAGGAAAACGATCGGAAAACAAATCAAGAAAAAGCTGTTGAAGGATTGAAAGAGCAGGCAGAGAAAATGAAGCTCACATCTAATAAAATATTTCAATTCTAATGAGAATGACGATTTTCAAAAATTTATATAAAATAAGCTAATCATCTTAAAAGTTTATAATTTGGTACAATCTAACCTCAAACGTTATTTTATAACCTCAAAAAGTTTCATTCCTTAACTCTTAGTCATTTTCGAGAAAATAATTTTTTTAATATCACTTTGAAGAAGCATCTAATGAGAATGACGATTTTCAAAAATTTATATAAAATAAATTAGTCATCTTGGAAGTTTATAATTTGGTACAATCTAACCTCAAACGTTACTTTATAACCTCAAAAAGTTTCATTCCTTAACTCTTAGTCATTTTGGAGAAAATAATTTTTTTAATATCACTTTGAAAAAGCATCTAATGGGAATGACGATTTTCAAAATAATTATATAAAATAAATTAGTTATCTTGGAAGTTTATAATTTGGTACAATCTAACCTCAAACGTTATTTTATAACCTCAAAAAGTTTCATTCCTTGCCTCCTAGTCATTTTCGAGAAAATAATTTTTTTTATATCACTTTGAAGAAGCATCTAATGAAAATGACGATTTTCAAAAATTTATATAAAATAAGCTAATCATCTTGAAAGTTTATAATTTGGTACAATCTAACCTCAAACGTTACTATATAACCTCAAAAAGTTTCATTCCTTAACTCTTAGTCATTTTGGAGAAGATAATTTTTTTAATATCACTTTGAAGAAGCATCTAATGAGAATAACGATTTTCAAAAATTTATATAAAATAAACTAGTCATCTTGGAAGTTTATAATTTGGTACAATCTAACCTCAAACGTTATTTTATAACCTCAAAAAGTTTCATTCCTTACCTCCTAGTCATTTTGGAGAAAATAATTTTTTTAATATCACTTTGAAGAAGCATCTAATGAGAATGACGATTTTCAAAAATTTATATAAAATAAACTAGTCATCTTGGAAGTTTATAATTTGGTACAATCTAACCTCAAACGTTACTTTATAACCTCAAAAAGTTTCATTCCTTAGCTCCTAGATGAAACGTCAAATTATGATAATACTAATAGAAGATAAGTAGATTCCTGTAATACCTAACAAAACGTCAACTTCATACATTATCTTTAATATTTTTAAAGAATTAATAGTTTTTAATTATATTTAAATAATAAAAATACATCACAATATACCATTAATTTTACAATTTTTTAATTTATTTTTTGACCAACGTTTTCTTTCGATTCTGAAGAAACAATTTCTTCTTTTCGCACCCTTTGAATAGCATCGTATTTCGCCTTTTCCAAATACGCCAAGGTATAACCGTCTTGTTTGAACGTTGCGTGAACGACTTGCGGTAATTTCGAGCAATAAAAATCGCTTTTCGGTATGCAACTTTTCGATTTCTGCATTACCGGCCGATTAGCCGTCACAGCTTTCGAAACGGAAGCCGCTTTCGTAGTTTGCGGATTAATATAAAAAGTATTAAACCCCGCGTTAGTTTTTGATCTTTCAAATTTAGGAGTATCGCATCCGACTAATTTCTCGTGAGTGCCAAATAAAGTGTAGGAAGTGCCGATCGTTTTGCTTCTTCGCGGTAATTTTGAGACTTTCGGTGAATTTTTTTCTTTGTTAATTTCTTTGGGTGGGGTTGTTTTGTCGTTTTTTGGAGTTGTGTTGTTTTTAACGTCGACGTCGAGAAAAATCGATTTTAATTCGGTTTCAGAGAAGCTATCTAAGGGATTATAAGATTATTTATGGTTTTAAAAGGATTATTTTTTCTACCTGGTTTTTGTTCCTCTATTTTATTCTTTTTTAATTCTTCCTTGTGTTTCATATAGCTTTCAGAAACATTTAAGCTTTTTAAAGCGCGATCTTTAATACTCAAAGTTTCATCTTCATCAAGCTCTTCTTCAGCTATTTTAAAAAATTCCTCCTTTTTAACATCAGCTGTTATCTTTGTTAATAACGAATCCAAAGATCTTGAAGGAGTGCATTTCGCCCCAACGTTTAATTGATGGAATAAATCGTCAAAAGTTGATGTGCTCAGTAATTGGCGGTCATCATTTAAGCTGTTTAAGTTTAAATCGAGCACTAAACCTTTAACTCGCCTCCTTCTTCCAGTTAAATCAAACAACGTCGAGGGAGTACTCCTTCTTGGTGGATATATTTTTAGAGAACTTATTAATTTTAAATGTTTATAATAACTTAAAACACATAACCAAGTATACAAGGAAGGTCCATGATCGATTATTTGAGTTAAAAGAAAATCCCAACAAGCGGCTTTTGAAAATTTATACACCACACAAATATATAAACCAGTTAAAAGTGACATAACCCCCATTAAAAGGCATTTAATCGTCGAAACTATCAACCACGGTATAAGAAGTCCCGGTCGTTCCTCCTAAAATACCAACGAGGTTAAAATCACTCACAAAACTCAATCAAAAACCTACAAAAACCGCCGGCCACAACATAACAATATAAAAAGCCAAATAAATATGAACCGTAAAAGTTTTCACAAGCACAATACTACTGATAATGTATTTTACGTATAATTGCACGGTCAGCGTAAATTTCGTCGGATCCATGTGAACGGACCACACTTTCTGGAGGTTCGCGTGCAAATTGAGAACGGCCGGATCAAAAATCGTGAAACATATTCCCAGTAAAGTCAAAAGGAGCATTTCGTTTTGTTTCGACATACCTAAAAATTCACCCAAAGTCTTCATTTTATTACTTTTCGAAATCTTTCGCGACGATAAAATTATTTTCGAAATGATTTAAATCGAAAATTTTGAAACGAAAAAAAATGACATGACATTAATTGTCATTTAAATTGACAACATTGAGGTTATTACAGGAATCTACTATTTATCGATATGTAATCCGATTCGTAATTAATAGATGGCGCTGATTATTCATTTATTTAATTTATTAAGTTAGAAATAATGAAAATAATTAACGTTTCTTATAATAATGAATCTATGGACTAATAAAAAATGAATAGAAATATATTATTTACCTTAGAGAGTTTTTTTTGCCATCTCCGACTCATAAATTATCTCATTTCTGCATAAAATGTCCTTGGGGTTCCATCTAAAAAATTATTTATACATTTATCTTATTTATTTATTAATTTTGTTGCATATTAACCACATCAATTATTACACTTACCATTTTCTTTGTCCCCAAGAGACTTAACTGATTTCAGAATAAGTTTATAACTTCAAAGAGTACAATTTAAGCTCCTAGATCGCATCAATTAAAGTCCAACCAATCCTAAAGTATTTGTGGTTCGTCTTCGAAGCCAAAATGAAAGGCTTAACATTATTCCCTATTGTGATGAACACCATAATCTTGTATATTGAGCAATTAAGTCCCATCTCCAATCTACAACAATTACATATACATTAAGTGACATTCTTATGCATAAACGTTTTAGAAAATGTTCTAACAAATACATAACTGCTAATGTATTAAATGGAGAAACTATTTATTTCGTTCTAAACACATATTTTTTATACTATTTGTTTAAAAACGATAAAAGAAATAAGCAAAATACTCACTACAACTTAATAAATGTTTTATTATTATTCATTTTCTTCAAAATCGGCCGATTAATCTAAAATTATTGACGTTTGACGAAAAATTTTTTTGACAGTTAACATAACCTCAATTTAATTTTTTAATTGATTATTGAGGTTATGTACTGAAACGGTTTTGTTTAAAAACATTATTTTTATTTATTTGAAATTGTTTAAATTTGCTTTTGAGTTCTCTTATCTCAGGATTTTTTATATAAAATAATAATTTAGCAAGTTTAGGCTCAAAATGGAAAATTTAGATTACAGATTTCTATTTTAAATTCGTTAACGCCAATGACAGATAAATAAAAATTAATAATAAATAATAATAATAAGCAAGAATTAATTCACTGTTTAGTAGTCACACGAGATAGTTTAATCTAAAGCCTGTTAAATGTATTTTTTGATAAAAATCATTAATAAATTCAATTGATTTCTCGGTGATCCATCCATTAGAATTGTTTGTTAAAAATAATCTTTAGGATTCAATTTCTTACCTGTTTATCTATAAAAACGAACTCCCCGCCACATAAAACGTAAATATTTATCTTTTGTACGTTTTAAATGAACATAAAATGTATTAACAATATTTTTAAAACCGAAACGAAATTTGTGGTTATGTTTACTAGTTTTTTCTTAATGTTCATAGATGTCGCTAATTGCTTCAATTAATATTTTTAAAATCATTAATATATATAAAAGTTATGTTAATATTAAAGGAAAAACCTCCACGTTTTAAAGAATTTTGCAGTATATTGTACCGCCTCATTCCGCTAAATCAAATATGACTAAAAATCTGAATTTTCAATTGTTAGAGATCACTGTAATTTAACGTACTTTACGTCATATAGATGGCGTTTGAATATTCTTATAGAAATATATTATGCATTCTTCACATATTTTTGATTTTTAGTCTTATTTGATTTAGCGGTGAGGCGGTTCATTGTACTTCTTTATCTATGATTGTATTGCAAAATTCTTTGAAATGTGCACGCTTTTTTTTAAAACACTAATAAATGTTGTAAATATTATTTATCGCGGTTGTGATTGAAAAATAACTTCAACTTAAAAGATTAAGTAGTTAATAAAGAAATAGAAACATTTTTAAAAGGGTAAAAACATAAAAAATAAAAACATAACCTCAAAAAAAAAATTATGACATTTAAACATAACCTATAAATAATTTTTTGGTTTTTAACAATTAAAAATCATTGAAAATGAGTTAGTTAACAGGATAAAATGTTGTATTGGAAGATAACAGTTTAACCTAAACAATATTTTTATTATTTTATTCTATTTCATTTAAAATGAAAATATTTACAAATAGCAACACAATATACGATTGTGTATGTTTGGTTGCCTATTTCTTAAGCAGGAAATATTAAATTAATATTTATTGTCAAAAAGTTATTACTAATAAAATTTATTGTTAAATATAAAATAAATTTTGTTCATTATGAATCCTAGATGATATGTTTCCTAATCGATTTAATTCCAACTTTATTAATTCCTCTATTATATACCTAAAATGTTGGAAACGTAAAAATTATCATTTTTGAATACTAAAATCTGTTATGACTAAAATCAATAAAGATGGGGCAGAACTTTACTAATAAATTTTGTTCATTATCAACCCAGGAAGATATATTTCTTAATCGATTTCATTACAACTCTATTAGTGTTGCTATTACATGCCTAAAACGATAAAAACTTAAAAATTAAGGTTTTTGGTGATTCAAATCTGTCATAACTCCTAAAGAGAAAATGATGGGACAAAATTTTATCAATAAATCCTAAAAGATATGTTTCTAAATCGATTTTATTCTAGCTCTATTAGTTTCTCTATTATATGCCAAAGATGTTGGAAACGTAAAAATTGTCATTTTTGAATACTAAAATCTATTATGATTCTAAAACCAATAAAGATGGAGCAAAACTTTATTTATTTGAAATTGTTTACATTTATTTTTGAGTTCTCTTATTTCAGAGTTTTTTATACAAAATAATAATTTAGCAAGTTCAGGCTCAAAAAGGAAAGTTTAGATTACAGATTTCTATTTTAAATTCATTAACGCCAATAATGACAGATGTCAAATTGAACGTAAAAAAAGATATAAATCGGTCGATAATAATCGATAGATTCTCAATTAAAATGAAAGTAACAGTGTTATCGCGTAATTTTGATTCTTCAACTCATTCATAGGTTATTTTAAATTATTATCATGAAAATTAACAGCAAAATTTCCACTTATCTGATAAATAAATACCTTTTAAATTATGTTGTAACTCAATTCGATTGAAGGTCTCTCTTAGGAATGGAAAATGGACAGGAATCCGAAACACAGGTAATTTCTCCTCAGATTAATAATAATAATAACTATTTTAGGTTAGATTTTTGATCAAAATTCAACCGTGTTCTAACGCTTACTAAATTAAACTGATCTTGGTTCAACGTTTTCCTCTTCTTATATACCCTTACCCCCTCTCCAAAAAAATTTCTTCCTTCTATTTTTAACCCCCGCTCCTGATTAGTTGGTGGATTTCGCGCCATTTCTTCCCTTAAAATAATTTCAAATCTTTTTTAATTACGAGAACGCCATCTAACGGATTTCTTTCGAACCACTCAAAAATTCAACATTATTTTATTCATATCTTCTTTAATTCTTCACTAATTTGGATGAAACTGCGCGTTTGATGCATATGTGTTTCTATTTTAGCCGTGCATTGGAGGTTTCATGATTCTCCAACCACAAAAGAAGTTTCAACCTAACAAATTTAAATCCAATTTTTAAAGTCAAAATCGTTCAAAATCCAATAAATTAGATGTAACTGGCACTGATTTTCCCATTTTGGATGGTTTAGAATGGATATTAAAAATAATAAATATTGTCATTTAAATTGATAACATTGTGGTTATTACAGGGATCTATTATTTATCGAGGTGTAATTCGATTTGTAGTCATTAGATGGCGCTAATTACTTATTTATTAAGTTAGTCGGAAATAATGAAAATCTTAACGTTTTTTATAATAATGAATCTATGGAATAATAAAAAATGAATAGGAAAGTATTAGATACCTTAGAGAGTTTTCTTTGCCATCTCTGACTCATAAATTATTTCCATCTTTGCATCCAACATCATTGGGGTCCATCTAAAACATTATGTATCTGTTTATCTTATTTATTTATTAATTTTGTTGCCTATTAACCATATGAATTATTATACTTACCATTTTTTTTATCTCCAAGAGACTTAACTGATTTCAGAACAAGCTTATAACCTCAAAGAGTACGATTTAAGCTCCTAGATCGCATCAATTAAAGTCCAACCAATTCTAAAGTATTTGTGGTTCGTCTTCGAAGCCAAAATGAAAGGGTTAACACCTCAAAGAGTACGATTTAAGCTCCTAGATTGCATCAATTAAAGTCCAACCAATTCTAAAGTATTTGTGGTTCGTCTTCGAAGCCAAAATGAAAGGCTTAACATTATTCCTTATTGTGATGAACACCATAATCTTATATCTTGAGCAATTAAGTCCCATATCCAATCTACAACAATTACATATACATTAAGTGACATTCTTATGCATAAACGTTTTAGAAAATGTTCTAACAAATACATAACTGCTAATGTATTAAATGGAGAAACTATTTATTTCGTTATGAATACTTAATGACATTTATTTGTTATACTATGTTTAAAAACAATAAAAGCAAAATACTCACTATAACTTAATAAATGTTTTATTATTATTAATTTTCTTCAAAATCAGCCGATTAAGCTAAAATTATTGTGACGAAAAAATTTTTGACAGTTAACATAACCTCAACATAATTTCTTAATTGATTATTGAGGTTATGTACCGAAACAGATATTTCTTTAAAAAAAAAATATTTTTATATATTTGAAATTGTTTAAATTTATTTTTGAGTTCTCTTATCACAGGGTTGTTTATATAAAATAATAATTTAGCAAGTTTAGGCTCAAAAAGGAAAGTTTAGATTACAGATTTCTATTTTAAATTCGTTAACGCCAATAATGACAGATGTCAAATTGAACGTAAAAAAGATATAAATCGGTCGATAATAATCGATAAATTCTCAATTAAAATGAAAGTAACAGTGTTATCGCGTAATTTTAATTCTTCAACTCATTCATAGGTTATTTTAAATTATTAACATGAAAATTAACAGCAAAATTTCCACTTATCTGATAAATAAATACCTTTTAGATTATGTTGTAACTCAATTCGATTGAAGGTCTCTCTTAGGAATGGAAAATGGACAGGAATCCGAAACACAGGTAATTTCTCCTCAGTTTAATAATATGATGATCAAAATTCAACCCTGATGATCAAAAATCATCATGGAAAAGTGGACATTTATGAATGTAGAGTTGTTTAATTTCTTCGTTTTGTTGCTCTCACGTTATAGATTTAAATTTTAAAAAGAAATATGTTTTTAATAAATAAATACTTCATCAATATTATTATTAAAATTCTCACCATAAATTCTTTCCTCTCCAGAATTGTTCTGAGATTTATTTAAAAATAAAAGGGTTAAATATTAATAAATAAAAATTAAATCGCTTATTAATATTAATAAGTTGTAAAAGTAATAACAGATGTCGCTATTAGAACGTCAAAACGATGTTTTTACATTTTAAATGATTAAAATTCACTCGGATATCATACGATTAAAATTAATGATAACCCAAATCGAGTTTTTATTGATTTATTTAAAAATAAAAGGGTTAAATATTAATAAATAAAAATTAAATCGTTTATTAATATTAATAAATTGTAAATGCAATAACAGATGTCGCTATTAAAACGTCAAAACGATGTTTTTACATTTTAAATGATTAAAATTCACTCGGATATCATACGATTAAAATTAATGATAACCCAAATCGAGTTTTTATTGATTTATTTAAAAATAAAAGGGTTAAATATTAATAAATAAAAATTAAATCGTTTATTAATATTAATAAATTGTAAATGCAATAACAGATGTCGCTATTAAAACGTCAAAACGATGTTTTTGTATTTTAAATGATTAAAATTCACTCGGATATCATACGATTAAAATTAATGATATCCCAAATCGAGTTTTTATTGATTTATATCAAGCTTTAAGATAATAAAATATAATTTAATTAAATAACTTATTAATACAACTTATTACCATCAATAATAGATGTCGCTACTAAAACGTCAAATATATTTTGACATTTTAAATAGAGTTCGTCCAAAATTGTGTCAATATAAACTTTAACAACAATAAGGAAAGTTTAAAAATACCATATTTTTAAGAATGAAATGTCCTTGTGATGGATTAAGAATTATTTTGGATGCGGGATAACCAAGAAATCATCCAAGTGGTGCTAAAACTGTAAGTAACCTTAAAAATAGATCAACTTTCCCCACAATCTCAATTATTTTCTTAATTCTTATTAGTTTTGGCATATTTATTATATTAATTTACATTATTTTAAATTGAACGTTTATTAAACCGAGTACAAACCCCAACAATTCTTAATTACGATCCTTATCTCGTAAATATCGCTTAGAAGTGGGAGAAAAACTTCATATAAATCGAGTTTTTCTTGATTTATTTGAAAATAGCATCAAAATAAGAATAATTAATAATTTATAAATAGAATTTATTAAAACAACTTAGCGCTAATAATGATAGATGTCGCTACTAAAACGTCAAAATGATGTTTTTTACATTTTAAATGATTAGAATAAGAATATCATTCGATTGATATTAATGATATCCCAAATCGAGTTTTTATTGATTTATTTAAAAATAAAGGAGGTAAAAATAAATAAATAAAAATTAAACCATTTGATAATACAACTTAGTATCGTCAATAAATAATAGATGTCGCTACTAAAACGTCAAAATGATATTTTTACATTTTAAATGATTAAAATTCATTCGGATATCATACGATTAAAATTAATGATATCCCAAATCGAGTTTTTATTGATTTATTTAAAAATAAAAGGGTTAAAAATAAATAAATAAAAATTAAATCATTTATTAATATTAATAAGTTGTAAAAGCAATAATCTATTTCCTCTCCAGAATTGTTAAATTTTAAAAAGAAATATGTTTTTAATAAATAAATACTTCATCAATATTATTATTAAAATTCTCACCATAAATTCTTTCCTCTCCAGAATTGTTCCAAATTTCTTTGTATCTATCTTGTTGTTGAATCCAGCTCTTATTCAATGAGAGTAAAAGTGAACCTAGATTTAACATTAACAAGTTCGTTCTAAACATAACAAAAACTTTTTTGAGGATAAATTAAAGAAATTATTCCTTACTTGACATTATTATTACTTTTGTATTACAATATAAAATAGAGTTTAAAATCATAAAATCCACATTAAAAAAACCTGACTAGTTCTTTGCACCACACACCATTCGTAAATTAATCATCAAAATTAAAAAATGTTGGCTACATTTTACTTTTAACTAAATTCTCAAGCGCGAAAATATTCTTAGGATCAATTTCCTTTTTAGCCGCCTTAAACAACGAAACTCCAACGTCCGAAACGGTCCAACCATACCATTTCCTTCGTAATTTCCCAACTCCGTGGTGATGCGAGATACTCCCCCCGCTCGCGATTATCTCCTCCCTCGCGATTTCTTCAATCGCTTCGTATTCTTTCACCGGATCTTCAACACCGCAATAATTAAAACAAAAATAGAAATAAATCACGCAACCTGCGTCGTAAGTTTGAGTCAACCGACAACTGTTCATGTAGTATTTTAAATTTCGTTTTGAACATTCCTCTTTGATGCGGTGCTTAACGTTGTTGCATAACGTTAAGACTCTATCCCAAGAAACGGAAGTTTCGAATGATTCGGCCACTATGTGATATTCAAGACCTAAATCCTTTAATTAAATTTTTTTTTAATTAATTAAAATGAAATAATTAATTTGATGCAATTTTACCCGAATATAAGCGATGAGAAATGTTAACATGTAACCTCGCTTTCCGTTGGTTTCTCCAGCGGGGATTCCCCCAAATTTCGATGAAATTTCATAAATTTTTTTTTCGTGGGCTCCAACCTCTTCGGAATTTCCCTCGAATAAAAGCGTCATCACCACCAAAGAATTAAAATCCATCCCTTTGATTTTATTGATATAAATTTTTTTTAACCCTTCCAAAATTAACCCGAAAAATGAATATTTCGGTTTTAAACTTTGCCCGAATTTGAATTGGTCGTTATCCATTAATCGTATCGAAGCCGGTTGGCATCGTAATTTCGCAACTTCCCTCATACATTTCGCGCCTGATTCGAAATTGGGGAAAACGATCGAGCCGTATTTTTGGAGCTCGGGGAGAGGGCGAATTTTGAAAATAACTTCCGTTATGACACCCAAACATCCTTCTGATCCCATAATTAAATGATCGAAATCTGGACCACAACTTATTCTTGGAACTTGGCAATTTTTTTCTAAAACTCCTTTCGGGGTCACCATTTTAACGTGAATTACTAAATCTTCGATGTTTCCATAAACATTCTTTTTCATCCCGGAAGCTCGTGTTGCAACCCACCCTCCTAAACTAGAAAATTCGTAACTATCGGGTTCATGCCCTGAAGTGAACCCAATCCTTTTTAATTCCCTCTCTAAATCTTGCCCGAAAATCCCACTCTCGCAACAAATCACCAAATTCTCTCGATCCACCCATAAAATTTTATTCATTTGAGATGTATCCAACGAAATTATCGTCCTGTCATCATCCGGGCATTCGATTGCCCCAGAAACGGCGGTCCCACCACCAAAGGGGATTAAAACAAGATTATTATCTTGGGCGAAATTAACTATTTTAACGACGTCGTCGTGGGAAGTTGGCCATAAGATAATATCGGGGATTCGTTTAAAAAATGACCTCCTTAATTTGTAAATATTGTCTAAAGTGTGCCCGTGGGCTCGGATTAATCGGTCCTCACCATCGATTGAATAAGAAACGTTGAGTTTTTTTATGTTTTCGAAATCTTGGTCGGTTAAATTAACCGGGGGGTAATCCTCGGGGTTGGGGGGATCTTGAGGCTTTTGAAACTGATCGATGTCGACGCCTAACTTTTCTTTTACCCAGGTTGTAAAGTATGGTAATGGGTGATCTCCAATTCCGGGATATCTAAAAATAAATTAAAATTAATTATATAGATCTACTTACCATATCTGCCTTAATTGTGGGAGTTATAAAATGATATATACTTTAAATTAAAGCTTAAAGTATTCTCTTTAAAACGATTTATAATAAATAAATAGTTAGATAAAAAAAATTTTGAGATNCGTATGTTAACCCTCAACCAGCGTCGCTTTTGTGGGGATATATTATATTTGTACAAACTTTTGAACAAGTGTGATTCTCCAATGCTTGTTGGTTCTATATGTGTTCACGTTCCTCCGAGATTACTTCGCTTTGATTTTCTATTTATGACACCTACTCCTAGAACCTATACCTGTCAAAACTCTCCTTTATTGAGAATGGCAAGATCGGCAAATCGTGTTAACATAGATCTGTTTCAGCATTCTTTATATGCATTTAAAAAACTGCTCTTTGCTGCAGTTGGTGTGTTGCCTCGAGCGTTCATTTGATATTTGATATATGATATATTTATATCACCTAAACTTAGTTTTAGTTTTTTTCCTTTGAATCACTTTTGTACCATTAATGTTAATTCATTATTATTATTATTATTGTGAACTGTAATTCTATTTTATTTGTATACAATTGGTTGTTTGTGGTACAGTATTATTGGGTTCGACCTGTTTCTGTACCCACATGAAATATATAAATAAAAACAACGTAGTTATAACTAATTAGTAAATACAAAAAAAAAGCGAAAACGTGTAAATAGAGCATCGTGTAAAACGAGGGATAGGTGTATATTAAAAAAATTTAAAACCCAATTTTTATAAAAACTTTATTTTGCAGGATGTAAACATGTAAAAGGTATTTTATTATATGGTCCTCCTGGGACTGGTAAAACATTGATGGCACGACAAATTGGAAAAATGTTAAATGCTAGAGAACCAAAAATCGTTAATGGTCCACAGATTTTAGATAAATATGTTGGTGAATCTGAAGCGAATGTTCGTAGGTTATTTGCTGAAGCTGAAGAGGAAGAGAAAAGGGTAATATTTTTAATGATTTATTTTTACTCATTAATTTATAATTGATTGTTGTAGGCTGGACCCAACAGTGGTTTACATATAATCATTTTCGATGAAATTGATGCTATTTGTAAAGCCAGAGGATCAGTTGCTGGAAATACAGGAGTTCACGACACTGTAGTTAATCAATTATTATCAAAAATTGATGGCGTTGAACAATTAAATAATATTTTAGTTATTGGTAAGAATTTTTTATGTGGTTACTTTGTCTGTAAAGCATGTTCTTCAGCCTTAATGTTTCCTGGTTCACTTTTGGTTCTTTAATCTTTTAATTGATTTCTTCATGTCTTCTAGTTTTATCTTCACTCTCTCCCCTTCTATAACATTATTGATAAATGTATTTATTTTATAATTTTTTAGGTATGACTAATAGGAAAGATATGATTGATGATGCTTTACTTCGACCTGGTAGATTAGAAGTTCAAGTTGAAATTAGTCTTCCTAATGAAGAGGGTCGTGTACAAATTTTAGATATACACACAGCAAAAATGAGGAGATATAAAAAAATTCATTCAGACGTCGATTGTAAGGTAAAAAAATCACTTTTTTTCTTTTTAAAAACATTTAATCTAAATTTTTAATATTACTTAGGAAATAGCAACGTTAACAAAAAATTTCTCTGGGGCTGAATTGGAAGGTTTAGTTCGTGCCGCTCAATCAACGGCGATGAATCGATTGATAAAAGCGTCGAATAAAGTTGAGGTTGATCCAGAAGCATTAGAAAAATTAATGGTAAACAGAGGCGACTTCTTACATGCCTTAGAAAATGATATTAAACCGGTACGAAGTTTTTAATTTAAATAATATAAATGATAATTTACGAATTGTCGACTTAGGCTTTTGGTACTGCTCAAGAAATTCTTTCAAGGTTCTTAGCGCGTGGTATCATCAACTGGGGGATACCTGTTAAGAACATTTTAGAAGATGGAATGTTATATATTCAACAAGCTAAAGCCGAAGACACCGCTGGTTTGGTGTCTGTATTAATTGAAGGTCCACCAAATTCTGGGAAAACCGCTTTGGCTGCTCAATTAGCGAAAAATTCCGATTTTCCATTCGTTAAGGTTTGTTCTCCAGAAGAAATGGTTGGATATACGGAAACTGCAAAATGTCTCCATATTAGAAAGGTTGTAATTAAATTTTAATTTGAAGATTACGATTTTTGTATTATTTTTTGAAGGTGTTTGATGATGCGTATCGTTCAACTTTGAGTTGTATTGTTGTTGATAATATTGAACGATTATTAGATTACGGTCCAATTGGTCCTAGATATTCTAATTTAACATTACAAGCTTTGTTGGTGTTATTGAAGAAAGAACCACCACCAGGAAAAAAGTTGTTAGTTCTTTGTACTAGCAGTCGAAGGTAATCTTGTAGATAATATTATTTGAGTAATTGTTTAATTTAACCCTTTTTTAGAGAAATTTTACAAGACATGGAAATGTTATCTGCATTTACTGGAATCCTTCATGTTCCAAATTTATCAAAACCAGATCAATTATTATCAGTATTAGATAATATAGAAATGTTTTCCCCTGAAGAATTAAAACAAGTCGCAAAGAATATAAAGGATAAAAAGTAAGATACTCTTATAAGTACTTTTAGGGCCGATTTTAATTGAACTAAAGCTAGACCTAGAAACTTTCGGGGTAAACCATGCGTTTTTTGAAAAAACTCGAAGTGACGAAATCGGCTAAAGTTTGGCAAAATATAGATGAAAAAATTATTAATACTAATTACTAACTAATTGTCAATTAAGTTGTTTTTGTTAAATCCGGATGGAGAAGGTTTTGTCGAGATAACTAGTAATTTCCATGTGGGGCTAAGTTCCCAGGCGGCTTCTTTATTCATATTGTTCCTATGTCGATGGATCTCGATCGCCTCTCTTGTCATCCTTTGGAAATAATTTCCTGCTCTGGCTAGCACCTTGGTCTTATCGAAATCTATGTTGTGTCTCTTTTTGTGGTAATGCTATGCGACTGCTGGATCTTATTCAGTCGGACATCCCTCTCATGCTCTTTGAACTCAATGTTACATCCTGTTTGGCCAACGTAATACTTCCCACAGCTGCATATACATTCAACGATAACAAAACAGCGGTAGGATGGCTGAAAAGGAGCAGGAGCGCGAATATGAATGAGTTAGTAAAGTTGTTTGAAAGTGTTAGGAAGAGTGGTAGGATAGTGGAATTGGTTTGGAGGAACAAGGGGGAAGAATGGATGCAGAGAGCGGACAAGGTGGCTAGGTCAAGTGACGTTGAAGGAGTGTATGTTTGCAGAAGTGCGTGTATAGAAGAGAGGTTGTGAGAGATCTGAGGGAAGCGAGAAAAAGGAGGTGGATAGAATCGGACAAATCAACGGATATACATATATGGATTTATAAATTCGGGAATTGCCTCGATCCCTTCATTTCCCTACTTGGTATTCTAGCTCAACTATTAAAACAATTAAAGAAAAACTTATGGACCATAAAAAATGGAAAAAGCGGGCTAATAACGCAGATTATCTATCTTTTACTACTCTGCATTCGCGATCCAAACATTTAATTTCAGCTGATTATAAAGCTGCTTGAAGACCCGAAAATAATAGGTATTTTTAAATTTTTTTTGCAATCAGACGAAAGAAGAAAAAATATTCATTTTTGACGAAATCTTGACGATTTTACAAAAAATGTCGTATTTATCGATAAAAAACGTACATAAAAAAGTTTGTAAAATAGAGAATCTGAGACATATCGAAAAACGGCTACGTACTTACCTAGAATAAGATAATACAAACTTTTGAAAAAAAAACTGTGGAAGTTATCGTGTGCACAGATTTGAAAAATTTTGTTTCCAGAAAAACGCGTTTAAAGTTTTCGAATGTAAAAAATGGTATATTTGTTCTAGATACATCTAATCAGCGATTCCTGCACCATACAGATGTCCTTCCTGAAGCTTATTTTCATCTTCTGCAGCTTTTCTGTCTGACAGTAGGCTTCTACGAGCTTCAAAAAAGTCATGGAGCGCTCAGCGCGAGCAATGCGATTTAAATCCGTTTCATGACAAAAGTCGAAGCACGATCTTCCAATTGCTAATTTCAGTGCTTGCATTATTTCCATAAAGCTTGTAAGACCATCATTAAAATTGCAAGCAGCTATATCAGACGCAATGTCAACCACTTTCTTGCCATTATGAATAGTTTTTGGTGCGATATACCATAACGCGGCGTTGTAACTTTCATTGCTCTTTTGCGTATATCCCTCTAAACATCTTGTCAAAAGATCTTCCCTGATAGTTCTTCGTACACAGATTTCACTGCGTTGAAAACATCATTGCCGATTGCTGGCTTGTGAGTGTACTCATCGATTTCTGACAAAGCGTACGCTTTTTTCCAGGAACACCATGAGTCAACACCAACTGGACAATTGTCATGCTTTCGAGTTTCACCTGTTGAACTTTTATGATACAAAGTAGCCCAGATCTCTTTTTTCATGTCCTTCACGGAATCGCAATTTCTGCGAATAGCCAATCCATAATATAAGGAAAGTTCATCAATTAATTTTCCTTTGCCTCCTAATACGCGGGTGTTTCTTTTTAGATTTCTTAACCGTGTGCCCATTCGTTTCTGAACATGATCGACGCATTCTTTTTTGGTTATTATTACACTGTCATAGGGCTGAGCGTCCATAATACCTTTGAAGGTTTTGCTGTCTCCGTGTCCTACGTAAAAACAGTACTTCAAATTATGTTTTTCTTCGTTGAAACATCTCTACAACGGAGTCCACTTCCATTTTTCCTGAAGATCCGACATGGTTTATATCACATATTTCTTTATGGTCTTCGACCCAATCTTGACATTCCATAGTATCTTCTTTGCCTTTCCAGTAACTACATTTTTTACAAATTTTTGACTTTATATTTGGAATTACCCCTTTGTTCGATAGAAGTCGGGGAAAGTTTTCTACGAATATGAGTTTTTGTGATGCTATTGTTTATTCAGGTACCCGAAAGCCTACTTCAATAGCATTTTTGAAAAATGATATTTTATGTTTTTTTTTAACTTTTTTGTACAACAAAGTCAAAATACCTGCATATACAATGGATAAAAAATGAAACAAAAAGTGGTTAAAGAGATCTTAGAATTTCCGGTGAGGTGTGTTACAAAAATCAATTTTTTAGGCAGAAAAACATTCCGCAAATGTTTCCTATCAATGGATTCTTATTCTGGACAGTATAAAGAACACTTTTAAGCAAAAAAAAAATTAACTAATTAAAATTAATCGCATTCAGACAGACTTAATTGATAATCCCGCGCACCTTTGGTCTTATATCAAAAATAAGAAAAAAAAAAACGATTTTGGCATCCCTGCTCGCATGGAGTATAATAATTCTAGTGTGTGCAATGGTGAAAATATAGCTGAATTGTTTTCTCAATATTTCAGCTCGGTTTTTATTTTTTACTTTGATCCCTTTCTGGTTTGACAAATCCAACGTTCTCTGTGCATTAAATCAAGTTAATTCTAATTCGGGACCAGGATCTGACGGTTTGCCCGGTATTTTGGTTACTTCTTGTACCGAACAGCTTGTTTTTGCTATTCTCTCAGTCTGTTGTCCAGGGGGTTTTTCCTTCCATTTGGAAGAAGGCGCTTATTGTACCAATATTCAAATCAGGTCATAAGCATCTTGTCTCCTACTGTCGTCCTATTTCAATATTGCCCATTATCTCAAAAGTTTTTGAAAAATTAGTATATTCTAAACTTCACTATATACTAAAACCTTTTATTATCCAGGAACAACATGGTTTCTGTAAGGGCCGATCAGTCGAGACCAATCTTGCTACTTTTATGACTTTCGTGCATAATGCAACGAATAATAATTTACAAGTAGACGCAATCTACACAGACTTTAGTAAGGCCTTTGACAAGGTTCACCACCCAATTTTAATGGAAAAATTGACCTTTGATATGGCCTGCTGCGTTGGCTTGGATCTTACATATCTAACAGACTTCAAGCGGTCAAGGTTAACAACTTTATATCTGATTTCGTACCGGTTACTTCCGGAGTGCCGCATGGAAGTAATCTTGGACCCATACTTTTCTTAGCGTATATTAACGATATTAATAAATGTTTTCGTTACTCTAATTTTTTGTTGTATGCTGATGATTGCAAAATTTTTTCATGTGTTCGGTCTTTGTCTGATTGTAATTTGCTATAGGAAGACTTAAATCGGTTACATGATTTTTGCTCTGAAAACTATCTCTTTCTTAATCTGAATAAATGCAGCAAGATTACCTTTGGAAGAAAACGTTACCCCGTGAATTACCCCTACAGATTCGTTGCTGAACTGTTGCAGTCTAGTTCTTGCTTTAACGATCTCGGAATTGCGATGGACTCTAAACTGCTGTTTGGTCAACATATTGAATCAATGTTTTCTAAGGCTCTGCAACGTTTGGGTTTTATTATTAGATAGTGTAGAGTGTAGAGCTTTCACCAATATATCTTGTATTATAAAACTTTATATGGCTTACGTGCACAGCATTCTTAATTTTGTATCAATGGTTTGGAATCCCGTGTATGCAACTTACGTTGATCGTATTGGTTTGTACGGTATTTGGCGCAGTTTTTCTTGCGATATTGCGATTATGCTCAAAGATGTGCGGTCTTTGGCCTGAGGTCCTTGCGGGGTCGCCGTAACTGGGTTGATAGACTGCCCAAACATTACATTACCTTACATTACCCCTTTATATAATGTGCGCGCTCATAGCCTGTTCAGATTGGCGCATCCGCCTCGTAAAAAACAAAGTACAAGGTACAACTTCGTAAATTTAAATGGAACACCCCATATTTTATTACATTTTTGAATTACCCTTAAAATTCGACATACTTTTTGTTAAGCATTACCTATACCAAAATTTTACCGTTTTTGAAATATTCAACATTTTCTGAAAAAATCTCCGTCTGCACGTGTCTATAAAAGAAAGCATACCCAATTAAGGGAAGAATACCCAAGAAGGAGATATGATCAGTTTTTACCAAGACTAAACACAGTCTGTAGTAGGATCCTATATCACCAGTACATTTCATTAAAAAACGTATGAAATATCCAATACGGAAACAGCTCCTTTTGAACTGAAGCTCCTCAGTTCCATGCCTCCATCTGCCTTGTTAGTAAAACATCCAGGAAAGTAACTGTTTTGCAGCTTCTGTTTTTATGGTAAATTTAGTCATGGAGTGTTGCGAGTTCAAGTGGTGCAGGAATTCTTATAGATGCTCCATCCTGCCAGATCACAAAGGTGTCATCCACATAACGAAGCTATAGCTATAGCTGTGATTTCTATGAGAGAAGTTCTTAACGATTCTTCTTCAAACATCACCATGTAACATTTTTGACTAGTACTCTGGTAAATAGAGATTCCACATCGATACTTGTCAGGATATCCTGGGAATCTAACTTTATACCCTTGATTGATTGGTAGAACGATGATGACTGTTTTTCTCTGTGTTACAGCCCGCCCCGAGCCTTGACCTCCTTCAATTTCTTTCCCCATACATTTCTATCCATAATCGCTCTCNTAAAAAAACCGCGTAAGTACGGGGACGCGTAAGACGGGGTCGCGTAAGTCGAGGTTTTACTGTATATCAATTAAGACACCCATTTCCTTTTTAAATTCTTTTTGAATTTTTTTCTTTCTCTCTTGTATAAGAGCTTTCTCGTCAGCGCTTAATTTTTGTTGCCACTTTTTAACGGGCAACTTGTACGAAATATGTAAAAGGGTTTCCAGAAATCTTATTTTTGCGTGTAGAATAGAAAGTCCAAATTTGTATGAGTTTTCATTATTTTCGGCTTCTCTTTCTAAATTATTGAACTGCTTTGAAGTCGCATCGCATATGTAGCATTTCAATGATGATTTAGTTCCTGTAGCAGCATTACAAACTTTACCATCAACCATTGTAAACCATACAATGTTTTACAATAACACCTGAAACATAGGTGGGCTTCCATTCTTTGATTTTATTATCAGTATATTCAATTTCCTCTTTTATAATATCAGTGGTTTCTTTAATAAATCTTATTCTTATTGACCTGCAATATCGAGGGGAAAATGGAGTAGAATTATGCCAAATTAATTTATTATTCGTTCCGCAAATCAGTTGCAATGAGACCATTGATGTCTGAAATATATTTGCGTCACAGTCAAAGTCGTTTTCAAATTTTTGTCTAAATTGAGACTGGTGAGATATATTACATCCCCATTTAGATAACAACTGAATCGTTGCCTGCTCATTTTCTGTGAGAGTCTGCACTATTTCTGTCAAATATGATATTAGCCTTTCGGAAGTGTGGTCTAGTAACTGTTGTAAATTAATTTCTGCACAATTATCACTAATAAAATACGAATCCGATTTCGGATAACATAACTTTTTGGCCTGTTGTAATTTGCTATAGCATGGGTATTGCTTAGTTTTTATTAGCTCATATTGTTTTCTCGAAAGTCCTGCCTCAACAAATCTCGATAGAGCTTCTAAGGGCGTGAATTTCGCTAGATTAGCTTCTTGGTCTTTATCATAAGCTTTTTTATAGTTTGTTGCCCGTTTCGGAGATTCGATAAGTTGTTGCAGAACTTTTGCAGCATCTCTTTTATCACAAGATCTTAATTTGATTACGGTTGCAAAAACAAGCTCTTCACATGTTACATTTTTCCGTAGTGTTTCGGTTTTTCTTCTTTTTGAACGATCACTTGATTCATTGAAAGATATAACCGGACGTCCCGGTTTTATCAAGGTACAAGGTAATTGAAATTCACTCTGAAGAAACACATTGTATTTTTTAAGACATTTTTGATGGTTCCTGAACGCATCCGACCATTTTGCCTGAAACTGGCTTTTAAATAATGACATTTTCTGCTTGAATACTTTAGTTTCATCCACTGTATAATTTTCTTTATTTCGCAGAATATTTTCCACATATTCCAGTTCCATGTTTCAGAACTTTTTAAAGTTGTCCTCAAACCGAATAATGACTGATATGTCAGGTAACTATTGACAGCACTGTAACTAATTACGTCTAGTACTATTAATAATCAATTTTGACGTGACTTTCAAGACAGGTTGATCATACATATAACAAATCCATTGCAGGTAATAATACTGTATTAGTTGTAGTTTTAATAGGTTGAATCAACTTTTTAAAATGGACTTTTGTCCAGATAGAATTCGCAAATACCCCATTGTGGCATCTGTCTTGTTAGTGAACAAAACATACTGGAAAGTAAGTGTTTTGCAGCTTCCGTTTCTATGGTAAATTTGGTCATGGAGTGTTGCGAGTTCAAGTGGTGTAGGAATTCTTACAGATGCTCTTTTCCATCCTGCCAAATCACAAAGGTGTCATCCACATAACGAAGCCATAGCTTTGATTTCTATGAGAGGAGTTTTTAACGCTTCTTCTTCAAACATCACCATGTAACATTTTTGACTAGTACTCTGGTAAATAGAGATTCCACATCGAAACTTGTCAGGATATCCTGGCGATCTAACTTTATACGCTTGATTGATTGGTAGAACGATGATGACTGTTTTTCTCTGTGTTACAGCCCACCCCGAGCCTTGACGTCCTTCAGTTTCTTTCCCCATTCATTTCTATCCATAATCGCTCTCTTCCAGTTTCTGATGCATCCTCGGCAACTTCTCGCGACCTCATCCTGCCATCTCTTTCTGGGTCTTCCCGCTGGTCTGCGTTGGTCTATTTTAGATTCAAGTATTCTCTTAGGCTTGTTTTTCTAGGAATGGGTTGTTAACCAGAGTCTCTTCTACAGGGTTGTTCCGATTTTAAGGTGCCGGAAACTCGCTCTCACCCTCCACCGATTTCCCAGGGTGCCGACGTTGTCTTACGTGGAGGTAGGATTTGTTGATGTGTCCTAGATGGACTATTTTATTGCCATTTCTATGAATATTGGTACAACCTTGTGATCGACACCTTAGGCTGTCAATGAGGCCCTTTTATCAACCTTTTGCACCCCGCTGCTTAAATCCGCTTCTATAGCTGATTTAAGTACTCTTGCATAGTACTCTTAATATTTTTTCGAATTTCCTCCGCCTGCATTGTAAGTATTCCGCGAATAGCCGCTTCTACTTCTCAGATGATTTTCAAAAGACGCACGGCTTAACCCGAAAGGTTCTAGGTCTAGCGTCAGTTCTATTTTTAGTTTAATTAAGAGACTTTTTTTATTAAACCTATTATAATAATTTAATTAAATTTTTTTAAGGATATTTATTGGTATTAAAAAGCTTTTGGCTGTAATCGATATGGTTAAACAAATAACTGATGGTCATAGAGTGATTAAATTCTTAACAAAAATGGAAGAAGAAGGCTGTTTGGATATGGAAGTATGTTAAAATTATTGACGTAAAATCATCACAGAATAGTGGTTGTAGCAAATTTAAACGAAAACAAAATTTTCTTGTTGACATCAATGTATTTAGCAATAGTATAAAAGTCAATATAAGAAAAATAATGAAACGATAAATAATATAATAATAACTGATGTATATGATATATATTTTATTATTGCGGAAATCATAAAATCGCGAGGTTTTGAAGTAACAAAGATTAAGTTAATTTAAATAATTTTTAACAACAAATAAATAGTAAACTCTCTAAAACAAAATATAATAATTATACATAGCTTAAAACAATGGGTTTTGAAAAGTATTTAAATTAGTTTTCCATATTTTAGGTACATTTAGGTATTTTTTTTTAGTTTGCAAAAACGTACCTGGATCGTATACATAAATATGTATATAAATGTTGGTAATTGGATTTGAAGGAAATGGTGATTTTTAGTAATAATTATTAATTTAGTAAAGAAAACCATAAACAATATGCTATAATATTTCAATTTTACATTATTTATTTTTTACTTATTTAACTTAAATATTAAAACCCTCCATTAAACCATTGTAGGTAGTAAATTAATAAATTAATTGTTGTAAGTAAAATATTCACAAAAGAAATCTTCCGTTTTTATTTGAAGCTTGTGTGAATTGTGATAACGCTGATTATAAACAATGTAAATGTCGCTTAGAGTTTAACGTAGCAAAAAAAAAATAAATGAAAATGTGTTTCTCAACATTCCAGTGATATAATACTTGGATTTCCAAAGAGGTTGTCTTGTAGAAAACTTTCACAATAATACAGTCGTGGCAGAATTACATTCAATAAATAGTGAGTAGTATGTTTTGTAGAATTGGCTCCAGGAGCTTTGTATAACTTGCTTCTTGGACTAAACATATAGAGTCCATAGGATTGAAATGTTAATTAATATATCACGTTGCTGCCCTATAATGAAATTATTCAAAACAAATAAAAAGTTTATAATGTTTGAATATCTTTTATTTTTCATAAGAAAACTCAACCTGAAATTAATTTTTAGAAATATTTTAATGTTATCTTTAACCATTTGAAACCCAGGGACTATTGAAAAAACACTAAAACAGGAATAACAGGAATTCAAACAGCAAAAATAGATACTTATCAAGACTCCATATTCACTGATAGAGAGATGGGAGATAACCTTCAACCCATAGATACTGAAGAACCACGTTGAAAAATTAAACCGAGATGAGAAGGACGAAAACATCTCCATGAACATTAAAATGGAAACACAGAGTACAGTAAATAAATGCGCTGCGACTAACTACTTTAGCAGTAAAGAAGCGAGTAAGACTGACAGTGAGGAAAGGTCTACAAACAATGAGCCCGCGGCGTTGCAAAGCAAATGAGTGCAGGATGTGAAGAAGTTGCACCAGAACTCTAGAACTTCTTCTATGACTGGGTACTCCCTTTGAAAATTTCTCCGTCGCATTCCACGCGCGATATGTGACGGAAGAATAAATCAACATAAACAGAACGGTGTGACGAATGCTTATATGAATGACGGACCGAGACCTCTCCGTTGCAGCTGAAAAAATCCGAAGCAGTATTACTTACCAGACGTTGGATATCGCGGGAGAGGAGTTTCTCAATAGCTAACGCAAAAATTAATAGTTGTATACAAGTAGTTTAAAGTATCTGGAAATAATACTGGATAGCAAACTCACCTTCGGAGGGATTGCGACAAAACGGGAAGGGTTACAGCAATGTTATGTCAGATAATAGCAAACTGTGGAGAACTGACTGCTTGTAAACGAAGACTATTGATAGACATGAGCAGGTCTGTTATGCTGGTTATGCTGTATGGGCGTGAGGTATGATGCGATAATCAAAACCGATTCCTTACTACTCAGAGAAGGGAAATGGATGCACGACGAACTGGCAAATATCTGTAGAGAGGGGATCTAACGGGAATCGATAGAACGAAGAGCTCACTCCGATTCTCGTAAGTGTAAAATAGATTAAAGTGAGCTTAATTTAATTCTTTATCTTTTAATGTTTCAATATACACAGCTTGATGATCCAATACCAAAATTAAAACCTGAAGTCCCTTACTAAAACCCGGCAAAGAAATTACTGCGAAGAAATGTAGTCCCTTCTTTGAACCTTGCAACGCGTTTCAGTTTTAATGACTTACCACCTTTAAATTTGATTCAAACTAATTTTAAGTTTGTCTTTGTATCCGAATCTTATGTAATAAAAGCTATTTCCTCAATTTTTTCTAGAGCTGCCGGTGCTGATAATATCAGTATGAGTATGTTGAATATGTGTCTTCCATTATCTATTATATTACCCTACTTGACACATTTACTCAATGTTTGCATTGAAACTTCGGAAGTACCTGACTGTTGGAAGTTGTCAATTGTGGTTCCTATCGCAAAAAAACGTGACCCATCTGAGCCTAAAGATCTGCGGTCGATTAGCATATTGCCAATTTTATCTAAAGTTCTGGAAAGAATTATGTTTAATCAGTTGCATCAATTTGTTCAACTTAATAATATTTTACCGAAGCATCAATCTGGTTTTCGTAGAAACCATAGTTGCGGTACTGCTCTTCTCAAGCTAACTAATGATATTTTACAAGCTCGAGATAAAGGATTATGTACGTTGGTAGTCTTGTTGGACTTTAGTAGAGCTTTTGATAGTGTTTCTCATGACTTGCTTGTGAAATTGTTAAAGTATATTGGCTTCAGTGAATCCGCTTTAAATTTAATTGAAAATTATTTAAGTAACAGGCATCAGCCGCTTAGAATCGGTGATGCTTTATCTGAATTTCGCTGTGTGAGCAAGGGTGTACCACAAGGTACTATTTTAGGGCCTATTCTATTTTCTTTATATACATCTCAAATCGTTAGGGGGTTAAATCATTGTGAGTACCATATGTATGCAGATGATTTACAGATGTATGTTTCCTTTGATCCACGCGACTTCGCCTTGGGTATTACGAATATGCAAAAAGACCTTGATTACATTCATAAAGTGGCTCGGGAATACGGTCTACATCTTAATCCGAGTAAATCCAATGCTATACTTTTTGGAAATTCCGCTATATGTAATGGTTTTCGGGAAAGTATTGATTTGCAAATTGATGGTTGTAACATTCCTTTGGTTAGTGAGGTAAAGAATTTGGGTATGATTATGGACAACAGTTTTCGCTATAAGAAGCATGTCTCCAACTGTATATCCAGGGCTTATTATCATCTGAGGATGTTGTTTCCTCATCGACACTACCTTGGTATTCATCTGAAAAAGGTGTTGTGCGAAGCCTCTGTGTTGGCTCAATTCACTTATTGTGCTGAGGTCTACCATCCGTGCATTGACGTTAGCGATGTAACACGTATTCAACGAGTGCAAAATTCGTGTCTTCGGTATATATATGGAATTAGAAAATATAACAGAATATCTTATAAACTGAAGGATGCGGGATGGCTAAATATGTATCATCGTAGGAAAGTGCAGTGTTTGTGCCTATACCATAAAATTATAAACTGCAAGGAACCACAGTATCTCTACCAACTGATAACTTTCCGAAATGATGTCCACCGAATAAATACGCGATTTCGCGGAAGACTGTCGCCACCCTTCTATCGTTTGTCTTTGTTTCAGAGATCATACATATTTCAAATAACTTCGAAATATAATGAGGTGGACGATAATTGCAAGGGGTTCTCACTACGAAGGTTTAAATTTACACAGAAATATTCTTGTTTTCTTGAACAATGTCTACATGGGGGCAAACGCTGATCTGACATGTTTTGCAATCTTGTTGTTGTATCTAGCTGTTGCTTTGTAATTTTTGGCCGAGTCATGTTTTTCTTTTTTTGTTTCTTAGGTTAGTTAGAGCAGCTGTACTAACTAGTACAAGCTGGAACTCCCCTATTTTCTTTTGTATGTTTTTTTTATACAATTAAGCTTATTTTTTAATAAAGGCATTTATTATTATTATTAAATACCCCTGGGCGATCCCCGAGCAAAGGGCGAGGGATTTAGGCGGTCGGAGATGGAAACAGCGATCTACCACCCAAGAGTTTGTCTACAGATTTCTAATCCATCTTAAAGCAAAAAACTTGTCCAAACACACAATTTATACACTTTATTTGAAGACACAGTTGTCGCTATTTAACAGATTTTAAATTTTAATATTAATTATTACTAAAATTAAACAATTTTAGGATCTGAAAATGTTACCAATCCTTCTATTTTTACATAGTTTATCGATTTTTTTTAAAGGCGGTCTTTCTATTCGATTGAGAGTAACGGCCCCATTAACTAAAAACACTAAACTGATCTACTGTACACAAAAAAAAGTTAAAAGCTAAAAAAGTTCAGTGTTTTTCTTAATAACATTTTGCCGTATCATCAACAAAAAGGTTACTTTTATCTGAACTAAAAATAGTTTTTGTTTCACTGTCAAGGCCGACTTAGTATTCTTAAAATTATCTTCACACCAAGCAGAGCTTAATTCCCCTTCCTTAAAATAAAATTCAAAATTTTTTGCGTCATTATACCTCTTGTAACATCTATCCTGGGACACACTGTATATGCTGTCATTCCAACTTTTTCTTGAGCGTCCAACGCTTCTTCTGCTCTCAGGTAATTTGCCTCTTGCTACTCGATTTCATTCTTATTTTCTATTTAGTATATATTCGTTAACATTTTTTATTTTACATTCCTTAAAATAAAATTCAAACATTTTTAGGTTATTATACCTCTTGTAACATCTAAGCGATGAAGAAACAGGCTTTGGTCTATTTTAGAAGAAGGAAGAAGAACAAGACTATTTATTATAATTGTTAGGCTAATATAATGGAATCGTTTTTATCTCGGTAACGATTGATTTGCGGATCGATATTCATCAAGACTTTTGAACTTGCTTTCTTTCTACTTTCCAATGCGTAATGTTATTTAGACGGTTAATTTTCTAGAAATAGGTAGGCGGATTTAAACCTTCAATTGATAACTTTATTTCAATTAGTGGATATTTCCATAATCTCATAGATAGAAACATCCTCATATGCCAAGTGGATAACATTTACCGGCAATTTCATATAACGCATAAAGTTTAAGCATAAAGAACGACTAAACCCAAATGTTTCTAGTTGTAGGCTAGTGTTAGTTCTAGTTTTACACTAGCACTGTTACTATGTAGAACTAACACTATACCTAGAATTAGAATCATTTGGGTTTAGCCGTAAGTCTCTAAAGCGGCAAAACCCAAATGATTCTAGTTCTAGGTATAGTGTTAGTTCTAATTTTACACTTACACTGTCACTAGAACTAACACACTGTCGGCTTCTTCCTTCGTACCTCTGCATGGCATTGGTATTAGATCGTTTAAACAACATTTGACACCTTTGATAAGTGCTGCAGCCACCCAGTAGCCAAACTTGATTTTTGTCATTGAATTCTGTAATTTGTGATGTAATTCTGTTCATTTTTTAAAGTTTTGGTTCAATATATCCTCCGCGCGTTCTGTGATGGGGATTTATGCTTGATCTTGGTTGTTTTGTTGTTTTTGTTGGTTATATTATGTACTAGTAGACTTAAGTTCTGAAATTTGTAATTAGGGGCAACCCTGTAATGTCGGAAGTAAAATAAATAAATAAATTAGACCTAGAACTAAAAACATTTGGGTTTAGCCGTACGTCTTTTAATACGGCCAAATCCGAATGATTCTAGTTCTTGATCTAGTGCTGCACAACAATTAAAACTAGCTGCTTCAGACGCACGGCTAGTGATGTGCAGAAATATTTACCTACCGGGAGGGTAAATATTGGGTGTGTATTTATATGGTATTTACCCAAATTTTTTTTCATTTCAACTCAAAGTTATCTACATATTGGAAAATGAAAAATGATTTGATGGTTAAGGAAGGTTTAGTATACATAAATGATAAGTTGTTAATACCAACAAAATTGTGACAGAGAATATTGAAAAGACTACATGGAC